TCCCCAGCCCCATTCACTCCCTCATCGACGGCGGAGCTGCAGCGAGCGCTTTCTCGCCCCACCACGGCCCTTAGGCAGCCCTTATTCTCCGTCGGGATCAGTACATCCAGCTTGAACATGTGGTTGCGCGCCAAGAGGCTGTCCTCAAGGGCGTTGGTGGGCGGGGGACGCAGGAATTGGATGTGGAAGGGGTGGATCATGGAGGGCATGGAGCGGAACACCCAGGAGCTGCCCAGGAGGGCGGCGCTGATGTCCACCCAAGAGGGGAAGAAACGCCGGTTGACGAGGTGGAGCATGCCCTTGGGCATCTCCACAGCGCACTGCTCGTGGCAGGGGAACTCCCAGGGGTCTTCCCGGACTTCTCTGCCAGGGGCATGGGCAAAGCTTCGTGAAAAAAGTGGCCATTTTCTTTCGGGGACAGCTGCGCGCGGCAAATTGCTCCATAATGGACTACAATGATTGTGTACAATGATTGTATTGGGCGGCGCGAGCACGACAAACAGTGCCTTTCAGGCCATCCCGTGCAAGGTGGCACCAATGCAAAGCATTAGGTGGTGCTTACTTAGTTAACTTACTTTAAAGTTAGCGCACTACAAAATCGAAATTCTCACCATGTTTTTAGCTCGTGCTTCCCATGCGCCTGCAAGCATTGGATCGCCAGTGCGCGCGGAAAGTGCTTCGACGACAGAATATGTCGGTGCGATCGTATCTATCTACAGTAAATTGTACGTATGCGTTGGCTCCCACACCTGGGCAATATATTTGAAACTCCTGTGTAGTCATATTTTCGGATGTTGCCGGTGCTGTGCGAAGCCATCTTGGGAGTATCGGTTGAAGAAAAATTCACCCCGAAGCGCTCCTGCATTCATAGCATCATTGATCTACGTGTCGCCTCCAATGCAGAAAAATTCACTCGAACAGCCACCAAGCGAAAGACCACTCTAGTACATCGTTTCATTTCATGCTAAATATCTAAGGATTCTTTCCTTTGTTGCGATCCCACGGAAATCGACAGAACAGGGTGGCCAGAAATCGAGAACGTTCGCATGCACAATGCATCGGAAGCCATTTCCTCTGGCAGAACATCGCACAGTAATGCTTCTACCGTAAATCATCTTCTGTTAAGTCTACTTCGTTGCTAATTTGCATCATTCGTGTATTTTTGGTGACATCGATTTGATACAGACCAATTTGCTAGATGAGCAGAACCCTGCGCTCTGATCGCTCTCTGGGCTGCCTGTCACCAGCGTCAAATGGACACTGGTGAAAATTGCCAGAACAGTTGTCATTCCGGTGTTACTCCACCGGGAGTTCTGCATGCGTCGATGGTTCTAGAAGGCAACCGGCCAAAAGGTTTCAACAACTCTTCAAGACACGTTCCGTTCACTCCAGCAGAGCTCCAGCGAGAAATGAATGCAGACCAGGCTGCCCGTGACAGCGAGAGGACTTGCCAAAGACGCAGCCTTAGCAGTCTGCCAGTGGTACCTTTAAATACTCACGTGCTTCTTTTGAAGCCGGATTTAAAATGTAGCGTCCCTCCACCCTGCTCACTCCGGCGCCCAAGGCGCCGCCGGCACTAGCCTTTTCCGTGAATGGCTGTTGGCGGACGATCCTGGCCGCTCTTCTGAAGCGCGTGCGCCCGGCACCGGAACAGGAAAGAGAGCCACAGATACCGGAGGCCATGTTCTCCTGTCGCGACGATATCCAAGGTTGAATGGCGAGTGGCAATCCACCCTATGAAATATCAGATATCTATGCTGATACTACGATACACTTGCGCAGCATGTGTAATGCGCACAACCAAGCAATTAAATGATCGATTGTTGAATTATTCGCTTGGTACGTACATTTGGCTACAACGCGGGTTCTGCTGAATATCAGCCATCTCCATATGGACACCATTGGCAAAGGGAAGGAGTGCCACTGAGAACGCACAGGCGGCGCATGTTGAGTGCAGTTGCACGTACACATAGCCGTACGGCTATGACTAGGATAAAAATGGCCAAATAGCACGTGCTCAAACGTGTGCAAAGTTTACGGGTTTGCGTTATTTTTGTGTTCTTAGTGTGTAAAACTTTGACGAAATGTGTTTTATGTGTGTTCGCAAAAGTGCTATTTGGCCCTTTTTTTCCTAGTGTATGTCGCCTGTGTGATGGGCACGGCACTCGCATGGTGATTTGACAGGAAACCAGGGGGCGGCGAGCTGGCAGGGCGGGATGTGAGCTGTCACAATCAATGAGGCGGCATGTTGGGGCCGACGTCGTCGGTACTTGCGCCCACACGCCTCCCGCGTTGAAATGGGGCGTGCCGCCTGACGCGAGATCTGCGTGTCAAGCAGCTGGCCGGCACTTGCCTTGGCTCTGAGGATGAGGCCATCTTCGGCCTTCTTCAGCGCGACCTCCACGTCGACTACGGACCGGCAGGATTTGATGCTGGATCGGAGCGAGCGGATCTCGTAAACGGCCTGGCGGGGCGCGTCCGACGGCATGAGTGCCAAGCACACCGTCAAGAGAAAATTTTCCCAATGAGGGGGACATTCAAAGTTCAATTTAACCTAAGGGTAAATTAGATAGTTACACTTCTTGTTAATCTCTCGAAGTATCAAACACTTAGACAGTAAATAAGGTTTATTAGCCGTCTAATTTTCTAATTTTGGAACCTAATCAAACGAACAACTTCTGACATTTGATTTTGATTTAATTATAGCTAGCTTTTGGGAAATTTCGTACGAGCTTTACCATTTGCAGTGGTGGCGCACCAAGTTCAAAACGAAACAGACAGCGTGATCCTGACTGCGCTTCACGCGGCACTTTCGCCAGGACGGGCTCCCTGTTGCGCGTGACGAAAATGCCAATCCAAGATACGACAAACAAAGAGGGAAGCTCCGCAGCAGCTCAGAAGAATGGATGCCACCAGCTGACGCGTTTTCCGCCGCTCCCACCGCCAAGGCAAACTTCTCTCCCACAGTGGGTTTCTTGTCAGAAGTGTCCTTCTAGGGGGACTCGGCGCACCACATAAAGATGCGGACTGCCCAAGTTTACGTTTGGCAAGGCCAGGTTTGGGGCGCGGCACTATCACGAACAACTCAGGACCAGCGAAGCCGGTCTTCGGTCATTTACCCCCCTGATGGTGCCCCGACGCGTTTCTTTCGACTGGCGAACGACATCAACGGTTTTACACACCCCGTACATTGCCCACAACGCCGAAAATTGGATCATCCCACTTCACATCCGACATGTCGCGGCCCGCCTCGGTGCTCGCGCACCCGAGCACGTGACAAGATGCGCACCAAATCAAAAATGGCCGCCTCTCCAGGACCTGGTATCCCCGTCGTGGATCTGATCCCCGTTGTTCCTTCGAGTCTGTATGCACTTGCTTTACGTACACAGGGCCTGCATTTACGTATTTTTACGCATACTTGCACGTAAAAGGAAAACACTATTTTGCGCACAAAAACATAAATACAATAATACAATGCCATATGTGCTTACGCCTGAAAATAACAAGCCTGGTCAGCACTTCAGCACCGTTGACCCCCGGCTGTCAACCAGCCCACCTCCTCCAGCGCCTCCACGGCGTTCATGCCCTGGGCGGGCTCCACCCCCAGCGCCATGCCCTATTTTGGAGCGCCCGCAACGCAAACCTCCAAGGAGGACCAACAGCCAAACACAACCTCCCAGCCTTCTCCCCCGCCGTATGTCGGCGCCAATTCTGTGGCTGGCCCAAAGCTCCTCCCCAATCAATCACCAATCATGCGTCCTGGCCGGCCACGTCACCGTGACCCATTGTCCCGAACAGCCCCCTTGGCACGAGGCCCCCATCCGAGCGGTGGGAAAAAGGCACAGGTGCAAACGCCCTGCAGGCCCGTGGAGTCGAACACAGGATGCTGAGGGCGCAGTCGACGCGCCCGTGCGCGGAAGCGTGCGTGGCGAGGGCCAGGCCGGAGGGGCAGAAGGCGTTCCTGGGTGGCCGGGGCGCATCGGGCGCCGCTGTCGCCAGGAGGGTCGGCAGGCCCGCCGCAGGTGGGTCCCGTGCACGCCGCGGCGTAGTGGGGCCACCGCAGACCGCTGGCAGAGGGACGCTATTCGACTGTCTGAGCTCGGCAGAGGCACGCGACATGACCGGTGTGTCGATTTTTCGCGTTGCCCTTGAGGATTTTCGTTGATTGGGTAGGGACGAGGGTAGCGACGTTTTGTGTATCCGTTTGGCCTTTTTTGTTAGCTTTTTGGCTGTCAGGGCGTCGCTGGAGCGTGCGCGATCGATGAGGATTCGAGGAACGCGGCGGGGCGGAGGGGGAGATGAGATTTGCGGGTTGGTGGATTGGCATGGACTGATCGGCGCTGGGGTAAGGCTGGGTGATCCTGTGCAGCGGCCAGAACGGGGGTGTTGGCCCAGTTTGAGGGGCGTGCAGGGGATTTCGTGGGGCTCCGGGGATTCTGGAGGCCTCTGTGTGCCGTTCGGATGAAGCGATGGACGATTGTGAACTGCCCGCTCAGCGTCGATGTTGGCGCCCAAATGGTGCAGGAGCCCATTTGCTGCCCGTCGCGCAGTGTTCTTGTGTGAAGTCGTGAACTCTTTGGCACTTGGTGCACAGTTTGCCGCGAAGCCAGACCATTGAAGGGCCTAGAGTTCGGCAAGAACCTGCAGCGTTGGTGCGGGGTGGGCATCGAATTGTGCTTTCAGGGCGTGGCGCCTGGATGACTGCAGGCGACTGCTGTATCCGCACCGCGTTTCGGCGTGTGTGTTATTCCTGCCACCAAGACAAGTAACAGCAAGGTGGCACCTGGTCGATCTCCGACATCGCCCTGTTCCACCTTGAGGAAATGTGGAGCCGCACAGAATAGGAACCTGGGTAGACAGTGAAACGCATCGGAGAAGTAAACGGTTTGTGTGAGCTTCTTTATTCGCAACTTTGTTTTCAGTTTCTGAGCTCTGAATGCGAAATTCGTGCTGCAGAAGATGGCACTGAAGTGCAAACCGCCAGCAAATCCCTTGAGGTCATGCGGAAGTTCTCTGAAAGATATGCGGAAAGGTGACTTACAGGGATCATGTCCCCATTCGCTGCAACTGCCCAAGTATGGTGCTCAACACAGTTCCACACACAGTGAATGCGTCTTTCCACCCCACTTGCTCTAGAATTACTGAGCTTGGAAATGTTGGATGATGGTATCAGAGCCTGCAATTCACATTGTTGTGCACCTGTCTTGGGGTCAAGTGTGGGTAACAAATGCCATTGTTGCAGGTGCTTTACTGCCCGATGCAAATGCTTAGACTGTGCTGCTCCCCTTGTAACAGTGGCCCTTGTGGGTAAGGGATGGAACAATAACGAAACACAATCAATCACAACAGTGAGCATCTTGCCCACGCTCTATGTGCAAATCCATTTCGTTCACTCTGATCCATAACTCGATGAATCAGCATGTAAAAGCAGTTCAAGCAGCCTGCTTTCAACGCCGACTTTGGGTTGGGTGGGTAGCAACGCACCAAGTGCTAAGCAAGAGGTTTGGTAATATCGATCACTTTGCCCAAATGGGTGTATGTTCTGCAGATGATACATCTTGTGTCCAGTGGCAGATGGTCTGCACAGAAGTCTGTATTTATAACAATGCCTGAGTCTGTTGACAGGAGCGGCACATACTTCTGCGTGGACAAGTCAGTGACTGCCACAGTGATTCAAGGTCTGGCTGCACACAAGGACGAGCTGGGTGCCCCGCTGTGCCCATGCCGCCACTATGACGACAAGCAGATAGAGGCAGACACTGGATTCTGGAACTGCCCCTGTGTCCCCATGAGGGAGAGAAAGGTAAGCGAAAAGGACCAGATGCACAAGCTGGGTGAACGGTGCATACCCATAGGTTGAGGCATGTGGTCATATTCCGTTGACACCCACACTGGCAGGTCTGCTGCAGCCGTGCCACATGCTGAGTGGGTTTGCCATCACCTGCTCACAGCGCCAAGAACAATGGACACTGAAGTGTGATTGATTTTTTCGCCTTTTGACAGAGCCCTTGCTTTGAACATGTTAGGCAAATGAACAGGTGCTGTCATCCTGCAAGACTGCCCATTGCCTTGGTGTGAGGAGTGTTTTTCTCACTGTGTTTTTGTTTGATATCAACTACCTTGGCATTTATCCTCTTGCCAACTGTGATGTGTTGGTGTGAGCCATGGGCTGCGATCAAAGGATGTCATTTTTAGTAGAAGGGGATGTTTGCTTTGTTGCACTGTTTATTTGTCTTGTTTCAAGTCAATACAGCGCAACAATGCCCTGTTTGTTGTGTGTGCCAGGAATGCCACTGCATGCTTTTCTTGACTGAGGACAACGACTTTCGTGGGGAGGACGCCACGATAACACCAGAGGAGGTGTTGCAAGGGACAGGGGCCCAGTGAGCCGCAGCTTCTATGGGAATGGAGCCACGCTGTAGCAACTGATGTTGCTGCACTCTCCAGGGAGGCTTGTGTAGTGCCAACGAACGATTCAGGCCGATTTATTGCACCAGCAGTTTTGTCTGTGCAGCTGTGTGCTGGAGATTGTGCTAGACTTGCAAATGTTGAGCTGTTGTAAATCTTGTGCTTTTGAGAGCACTTGATTCTGGGTGCCCCTCGCTACGCACTGTTTAAGGAGGCCACTGGCGAGGGTGTCAGCCAGCACACTGGAGTCTGACGACCCCAGCCCAGACAGTGAATCTGTTGGCAGGCTTGCCGGCTGCACCTGTTCCACTGGTCGCCATCGCTGACCATACACGGTTGTCTCTTTTCGTGGGAACGCCATGCTCATGACGTGTTCAGCAATGGATTCAGTTGCAACTTACCATCGTCAGTCGACACTCAGATAGCACGAGCCCAGCCATGCCCACTCTTTGCTGTGCTTAATCCTTGGTGTGCAGCTGTGCTACTTGGAGTCTGTGGCAACTTGGGCAGTGCATGTAGCTGGGTTGTCCCACATGTCCCTTCATCATAGTGGAATGCAAGATAAACCATGTGCAGAGCCCAGGTTTAACCAAGGAAAACCTTGCCCCGGCCCTAATGGATGTCACTGTGTTTGCTTCTTGGCATCATTCAACAGCAAAAGCAGACGAGCCTCAAGAGACCCTTCTCCTCCATAGTCCGCTGTGGATACTGCTTTCAAGTGTTGCTGCAAGCACGCTGTGATGAATTGCAGTCACATGACAATAGCACTTTGGAGGCAGCTTTGTGTGTGCCTGGATGGTGATCTTGACTGCTTCTTGGCACATTGCCAACTTGCAGTACAAACAATGAGAGCCATGTTGGTAGGGTTGGGGGACCAGACTTGCCTGTGGAGCATAATGTCCTGTTTGGTATACTGACGAGTAGAAATAAAATACAAGACTTGACATCTGTATTGATCCATGCTGGATCCAGGCTAGATGTTACGAGTTCAGCTCAGTCCAGTTGAGTCAGTGCTCTCAAAGATATTGCAAAAGAGCAGAAGACACATCATACAATGTATAGAGTTTGCCGATCTAAGCGTGGCTTTCTTGCAGAGTGTACTGCTAGTACATAGAGGGGACCTCAAATGGATTGTGCGACAGGGACAGCAGGCACTTCTTACCTTTCTTGGGAGTGTGGTGGGTCGAGTGACGGAAGGAGCTGGGCTGTCTGCCGATTGATCTTGATGTGATGGTTCTTTTTGGTGACACCTGTGGTGTTTGTGGGGTGTTGCATACTGTGTGGGGTTTTGAACCTTGGGATGTTGTGGTTAACTATGGTGGGTGGTGAGGGGAGTGGCCAAGCTGCAGGTGAGATGCAGGGGAGTGTCTGCATGTAGAAGCAAAATGTAGGGGCAGGTGGCAGTGCACGCATACTGGCGTACATGGGGACAAACAATGGACATGTGTTCTTGTGGGCTGGGTGGCCACATAGCCTGTGTTGGCTGACACACTGTACATGGAAATCTCAACTCAACGCAACACATTATACAGCAGGCACCCCAGCTGCTTGACCCAGATTCTATCTTAACAACCACTCCACAGATTCAACAGCACAATCCCTGTGGACAGCGATCAATGCCCTCACTTCTAATTGAGGACAGCATCTGGAATGTCGCCACCATATCATGGCTTTCTTGAGTATACGGTGTGAGCCCAGGACCAGAAACCTTCTCGTCAAGTCTGCTTGTCACTCACTGCGAAGGTCTGCCAGGCGCAAAGCAGAACATGTGTTGGCCAAGCAAGTGCTTTGTAGCACACGATTGTTGCATGCAGATGTGCTGGAGCGTAGATCTGCGAAAGAAGCTGTCCATTAGGATGCTGAGATTCTGCACAGGCATCATGGTGCTGCACCATAGACTGTGCACCTCACAAGTCTGAAACACATGGCATGGCTTCAAAACTGTACCTGCGCATGCATGGCCAAAGCGAATTCCTGAAAAGGACTGGAAGCCACAGTGAGTGGCAAGATATGATGGTTGGCACTGAAGGAAAGGCAGATAAACAAGTCCACCTGGACAACTAGGCCATCCCCAACAGCATTAGTTCTTATTGTTATACCTGTGCGGAACTGAGTTGTATTCCCAATCGAGTTTGCTGGGGTGTTGATGTAATTTCTGGTTGTGGTGAACTTGCAACAACCCACCCAGCACATGCCAATTCAGCATTTGAGACAGTGGGGTGAACCAACATTCTTGAAGACAACATGCGCTTCACTGTGGAAAACTGGCATCCTCAAACAAATAATTGGAAGGTCTACTCAACAAACGCGCATGCTCAAGCGAAACACTTGTGACAGAGCCCACCTCCGTTTCTGTGGACAACCTTGGGTAGACAGCTCCAGCAGAGCCATAACACAGCGATGGGGAACACACTTCTGTGGAATGAACACCTCGAACCACAAATGAACGTGGGTTCTTGGCTCCGCACAGGGTCTTCTAAGGTGTCATCCTCATCACTGCCAAAAGGCAAGACACCGACAGCTCCTTGTCTTCCCAGTCATGGTGAAGTGCTGGCAATGGCAACAATCAGTGTACACCTCATCAAGGGTGCCTGGTCTTGCTGCTTGCGGCTGTGGATTCTGTGGCCGATTGCTTCAGGCCATCAACGAGCTTGTCCACCTCCTTCCTCAACGACTTCACTTGTTTTGAGAGGTCCTCAACCCCAGCAAGGCGTCCCAGCAGGTCTTCACACAGTGACATTATTCCCGTTGCATTTGACACAGACTCTCTGACAGACTCCTGAAAAGGATATCCTTGAATGCCTTAGCACCCCACAACAGCAAACACAGCACACAATACTGGCTGAACTGCGAGGCATTTGCAGGCAGCAGGGCAAACTACCACCACGTCGATTCAACACGTGCAAAATGATTGTTGACATTGATACTTTGCTGTGATCCAGGCCTTCCACCCTGGACACCCAATCCCTTGAAGGCATGAAGACCCATTGTCCAATAGTCATACCCCTGCCTGAAAAATTGCCAGTTCAGTTCGGGGTGGCTCCGATGTGGGCAGCTGACTGCGTTCATGGGCGATTTCGGATGTGCCGCTATAACATGACTGTTGTTCAATTTTGACAGAGTCAAGAGTTACTGTTCAAAGTTCAACAACTCCCCATTCGCAACGCCACCAACTTTACGTTCTGTGGATTGGTATTAACAGGCCTCGTGAGCTAATCCTGTTCATACTTTGCCCACCGGTGTGCAGCACTCACGCAACAAGTCTCCCTGTCCTTCTCCCACCTGCAGATCTTGCGCGGCGGCGTCCTCCAGGAGCAAGTGCTCGACAGTCAGGGTGTACGCCCCGAGGTTGGAGCTCTTCAGCTTCCCCAGCAGCTGACTGAAGCCGGACATGAGCCTCTCCCAGGAGGCCGCCAGCTTCATGGGAAGGTCATCAGCCGTGTCCTGCTGATCGCCAGCGGCAGCCGCATCCGCACCGCCTTGCGGCGACGGCCCCGAAGGGATCGTCCATTCCTCCCGCGCGGACTCACCCATCCGTTCAGTCGACACCTTCCCACAGCCCGTTCGTCGACTACCGTCGCGTCTACGTATCGCCTATCTACCGGACTATCTACTGCGCCTCCTGCTCCCCGGAGCCCGTTTCGTCGACGTCCGTCGCTCGTGCCGGCTCACCGTGTGCTGCGTGCTGTGCCTCCTGCCGATACTCCGGAACTCTGCTGGCACACTCCGGCACTTTGCACGCCCCTTTTGGGCCGTTTTCCTCACTGGAAGCGCAGTGGCGTATTTCGGAAGACATCCCGCGAGCCGCTGTCCCAGCATAAGTACTTTGAAATATTAAACCCTTCCGCATCAGAAAATTTCACCGTTATGCTTTTTGCTCCGCATTTTGTTTTCCACAGCATTATTTCTAACTTTTTTTTTTACGTTGCTCCGCACAGAAAGGCCAAGATTTGCGTTACTATTTATACTATTTTCTCCGCAAAAATGACCAAGCGTTACGTTACTATGCGGAAGGGTTTGTTTCTTCCTTACATGGATGCATCGACATGACGTCACGGCATCGATCAATGTAGCGAACCACTCAATGTACGAAGGGCACGTCCAGGCCCAATTCTAGAACCGAAAGCACACCTCTAATGGCGGCCACAGCTGCCACCGAACCCCAGGAAACTCCCCCCCATGCGGAAGGGTTTATTATTTTGCAGTAGTAAGTAGCACTCTTACGGTATGTACGTCATACCCCCCAACGAAAAATAATAAAAAAAACATATAAAACAACCCAAGAATAAAGGAAAAAAATTGCACCAGTTTGCTGCTGTCCGTGGGCTGTTCAGTGGGGACCATGACTGCAGTGTCCCCCCCGAGCGCCGGCGAGCTGCCCGCGGAGCGCTGCGAGTTTGGGCGGGTGGAAGCGACAGAGGGGCCGCTGGTCCTGTGGCTCATGGCAAACTCCGACTCGGCGGGCTACAGCGTGTGCGTTGCGATGCTGGGACGGCATCCGTTGGCACTTTTGTCGATTGGACGGATGCTTGCCTGTGGAATTTATCAGCGAAACTCTAAGAGCGGTCGTTGGGAGGGAAGCGTGTTGAATGCCCCAAGTTGGGGCCAGGCGCGGGCCTCGGCGTTTCACCGGACCTGCGAGAGGTTGTCGATGCAGGATTGCAGATCCTGAACTGGAAAAGCTCGCGCCAACAGCATGATGCCGCTGTGTACGACCCTGCCAGCTGCCAATCGTGGCTGGTGTCCCCAATTTATTGCTTCAGCCTGCGACCTGTTGGGAAAGGGATGGGCGAACTGTTGCTGAATTTGAGAACTCTGCAGATGCGCCCTCCTGCATTTTGAAACCCCTGGGTCGTCAGCGCTGGTCCCTGACACCCTCTTGACAAGTGCTGTCCTTTCGCGGCCAACCTGCTCAGACCTCCTTTGTTGGATGCTTTATCGTCACACCGTAGTCTTTCTTCTGCTGAACTTGTTGTCAAATTTTGATTATTTGGGCTTTTGTGTTTTGTTCGCCAGGGACCTGAGAGACCGCGATTTCAGCAATATAAACAGCAGTCATTCCATGCCTATTTGGGGACGAATAGATACGCGCCATGCACCTGCTCCTGTTGCTTTCCCATGTGTCGTGAGCCCCTTCCCGTCACACACGCCCAGTTCATCTGCTTTACTTTTTGGTTGCAGGCAAATCTGCGCAACGGACTTTGGGGCCCATGCCTGGAGGGCAAACTTCAAGTTATCAGACCTCATGGACTCGCTGGTGGGTTGAACGAAAAGAATGCAAGCGACAACCACCTTGCCTGCATTTGACACTATGATTGAAAATTTGCACTGTCAATTTACGGGGACAATGCTTGCCTTGCACCCCCCACCAATACGTGTGCAGGCGATGCATTGTTGTTCGCAGCACAACAATCATTTTGCACACAGATATCGCTTTAATATCCAAGCAGGCTTGTTGTACTTCTCTAATGTTCGCATGTTGGGGCATTGGCTCACTGGACACTGCTAACAGCCCTCAATTTGTCTTTTGCCTTCCAAGCACTCTACCATCAAGTTATGCGTGTTGTAAACTGGAGGCTGCGGCGTCGTGTTTGATTGGTGTCAATAAACAAGGAAAATTGGATTGTTGAAAATGTGGAATTGGCAGAAAAGGAAGGGAATCTTCAGATGTGTGCGTTGAGAACATTGGGCAGTTGCACACAGTATCTGGTATAACACCCTTCAGGAAAACAGCGATGTGATATTTGGAGGAAGAGAAGAAAAAAATCCCTTCCAAAGCAATTTTCAAGGTTGGCGACATTGGCACAACTTTTAGAGTGCACTAACACAGTGTTCTTGCGTCTTCTAGGCATTAAAGGGTGCTGTTGCTTACAGCCGCAGACGAAGTACTGCTGCAGCTCTGTATTGACACAGAAACAACTTCTTCCCAGCAATTTCAGTTGGGTACTTGTCAGATGCAACTACTCCAGGTTGAATGATCCCGCGTTGGCTTCCAGACAGGGACCTGCCCGACGCCTGGCCTCCTCCTGAAATGGGTCACCATGTCCATGACGCAAGGACGAATGGCTTTGGATCTCACAGAAGGACAGGAAGGCAAGTGAAGCCAACATGCATAATAGGAAACCTGCACGCCTATTACTAGTGTTCTGAACTGTTTGTGCAGAGTAACACTGTGGGCGGAATTCCCAAAGACACTATTGAGAAAAGCTCATGGAGTGGAATGCGGATGCAAAGGTAGCGACCTGTCGTGTGGAGACAGTGTATTTAGCGCGCTCGTGGTCGCTGCTAATGTGACGAACAATGCACGTCTGATCGAATGTACTTCAACCCTCGCCTTGGCAACGGCCTCAAGTCACGTCGTCAATGGCAGACGTGCATTGCACAAACTGGTCAAGTGTTGGGTACCCAGGCAAGTCGCGCTGCCGTTGTTGCGTCGGCTGTTGTTTACCTCTGGTCCAGTACATTCCAACACATCTGGACGTGCAGTCACAGGTGGGTCTCTGTTTGCAGCGCAGGTGTATGGCATTAGGTGGCTCGCTTTCGGCACCCCAGTGCGAAGGATTGTAATTGAAGCCATTCACCCGCACGGTTCTGAGCGTCACTGCGGTCCTGCGTTGTCCCCTGGACTGCCTGCATGATGGCAATCAAATGAATGTGTGTGCTGACAGCTTTCAATTCTTGTTTCAGTGGCTGCGGTCTGTCACCACCCCAATGCTGTCTTTTGGCCTTGGAAGAGTTGACCAACGCCTTCGGATTTTTATTCACTTTTTGTTCTTTTCTGCGTCTTCCCTTGCTGCAATGCGCAGGAGTGGCACAGGCTGCCTCTGCTGAGTTCACTTGCGGTTGGTTGAACGATTACGAAAATGGGCTTCAATGTGCCGCGACGTCATTCGATTCTTTGCATTTGGGCCGTCATGGAGTTGCATGGACAGACTTACGGGTGCCATCTACTGAGGCTGGTGCGAATACGTGGCTGCAGGCATTGCCTTCACCGTCCATGTTCCTCTAGCTCTGGCGCTGTCGTTCAGGTATCCAACAGTGTGAAGCGCTTGTCTCAGCGCAATGCAGCTCCAAGAGCAAGCCGCCTGTGCATGTTTCGGCTTCACTGCCAAATATCTGTCAAGATCAGCCTGCCCTGATGTGTTTGCCTTTGCGCCTTGCGATGCCCCATTATCTTCGTCCCTAAAATCTGCTGCTTGGATTGACAAGTCCCTGAACTGATGACGAATGTGCTCAGAGTAGTGTTGGATGTTTTCTCTGGATTTTAGATGTCAAGTGCTGCCCATTTGCTGAAGGTTTTGTTGTTGTTGTTTTTTTGGGGTGGGGGGTGGGTGGTGGTAATCCTTCGGCTGCCCGCTGCAGTTTCAGGGCCACCGCGGTGTCCTAAACCTGGCGGTGCGCCTCAGGGACAATCCCCCTGTCTTGGACGTCGAATTGGGCTCGGGAACCCGTGCATCCTTCTGTATCCTCGGACGCGTCCTCGCTGATATCTTCTCCATGGAACGGTTGTCAACAATGGCTTGCCCGCTGGTGTTGGTGCTCAGGCTCCCGCCGGCTGGCCGCGTGCTGGAGCCTGTGGAAGGGTCTGAAAAGGACACCTTGAATTCAGGTGCGCTCCCACATTCCAAGAAGCAGCAAAACGTCTCAGTGTGGCCAGCTGCCATTGGAGCCGGAACGCTTGCGGCTCTCTCGTGTGCTTGTCAAGTTCGAAGCGCCATCGGTTCTCCCATGCTCCCGCCGCGGCCATCACCGCTTTGGTGCATGAAGCTGAGTGATGCTGACGCTGATGCCTTCCCATCAGGTTGCCGGCAAGGGCGCACGCCCGGTCCTTTCACAAATTGCTGACGGCCCGCATGAACCTACTGGTTGCAAGTCGCCCGACTGCAGTGCCAGCGCACTCATGGCAAGCTCTCAGCCTTTTGTGCAAGGAGCCCACAATGGAGGGCGACCGGTGCTTGATCCGGCCCTGTCATGTGTTTTCTTTGCGCAGCTCTAGCATTGCGCTTGCTGAGCAAATACAAGGAAGCTGCCATCCGGAACGCCGGCCCGGCTTCTCCGCCCCTCAAGAGACCCCACCACGAGTCGAGTGTTGGGGACCCGTCGCCTGGATCTCCTGGCACGACACCTTCTTGGGATGTACCAAATGGTGGAGAAGTTAAACCTGTGGATGAGGCACACGAGGCACGGTCGTCAGAGGAGGGCGGCAGGACCGGTGTTGCAGGTGGCCTCGCTGTCGGGAGGGGGCGTTTGGACGTGTCTGGGAGGCGGGGGATGAGGGGGAGGGGAAGGGGACGTGGAGCCCGCGCTGTAAGGAAACCTTGACTGCACGTGTGTGAGACACGCGACTGCACTGTTTCACACTGTGCTGCCCTGATCCGCTGTGTGGCTTGTCCGCTGGTTTGCTTCAATTGGCAGTCGTCATGGTCTTCGGATGCCCTCTGAGCTTTGGTTGCCGTGCATCTACGGCACAAAAACAGCAAGGAAAAGGTCAGCACTCGCTCGCGCTTTCCAAGCTGCGAATAGGCTGGCACAGCAGTGCCGCATGGCTCGCGAGAGTCAGAATGCTCTGAATGCGAATATGGCTGAGCTGCAGAACACTGCGAACAAGTGTCTAAGCTGGGTCTGCACAGTTGCAATCGCACCGACAACCACAATGGCTGTGTATTCCGCTGGGACAGCTGAAGGGCCTGGGAGCCAATCATCCGCTGGCATCTGCCCCAGCGAAGGGTGGGCCACTGGTGCGTCCGTCCGCAGGGCGCCTGAGACGGTCGCGGCAGCACTGATTTCTACAATCCACCCAAGGATTCCGTTTAGCCTGTCCCACAAAATGCGGTCGACGCTACCGCCTGTCGATTTGTCGATGCCTTGATGGAGCTGCTTTCTGCACCTCTCCAGGAGACCCCACTGACAGTGTGGCTCGAGGAGCACGGTATCGAAAGCAACCAGCACGCATCTGCAGCACAGGACAATTCACCATCATTCCTACTTGTGCAGGATATCGCTTCTGCGCACTCTCAAGGCATGGCAGACCCCTCAAGGTCGGTGCGACGAATACAGAGCATTGGCACGTGTCGGAAGTGAAACGAGGTTGTGTGTTAAAGTGCGAAACCAGCGAGCCAGTAGCACACTCAGCAGTGTGGATTCGATACCATAACAACAATACAATATACCTATTATATCATCGTCTACATTCTACATTATTGTATTATATTGTTGTATACATATTGAGTAGAATAACTGTATTGTGGATTAACGAAATTGCGAGGGATTGTTTGGTGCTCCATCCTCAGCAGCAAAGACTTGAAACGCTCCCGTTTTGGCGCCATTGCCATCCAATAGACTGTTTCTATCATCAGCATGAAGGTGGGCTATTTCTGCAAAGCTGCGCAGGCGACGCAACATCACTCAACCCCGTGTCTGTCGCAATTTTCGGTGACAAGTGCGGGGCTGTGCGTGAAACGACCGCGCTTGCAGTACATCAACCGCACAAAATGCGACTGTGGAAATCGCAGCAAAACGTACACATTCAGATCTGTATCTCGGAGATACTGGGTGGATGTACGAGACATGACTAACAGCAGTCGCCACGTTCGTTTCGTGGCTGTCTCTGCACTTCGCTGCCTCGTATCCCACGAGCATGATGTACTCAACTACGCAGCCTAATATGGGCGGGGGACGTGATACCCACACATTTATTGCAATGTGATCAACAGAATGAGGCCACGATGATTCTCCCCGAGGACTGTCCATAGCGAGGGGAGCGCATGTGGTCTTTCTTCACTTTCTTCTGCTCGTGCTGACCATTGCACCGCGACCACAAGCGAGCGGACTACGAATACAAAATCGCACGTGAGGGCGCGTTTGTGCTGTGGGGTTACTGTTCTGCCACCATATGCGTCCGGTGTCTACATTGGCATGCTGCGCCGGCATGGACAGTCTCTGCGCATTCCAGCGCATTGTGAGTTCCGCGCAAGTTTTCCAGCAAGGCCCTGTATAACAGCGCGGGGCCGCAGTGGCTAACTGCGGGGTGCTGGTGCACCTGGGCTCACCTTGACAGCGTCAATTTAATCTCACATGCATGGCTGCAGCCTAGGAGGCCAAGGGCAGGGGTTTGTGCCAACTTTTAGTCACCAATTGCGTCGCCACAGGCGCTTTCATGCCCTGCTTACGACCTTGACTGCAACCGACTAGGACGGGCCCATAAGGCCACACACGGTATTCAGGTTACGGGCCAAATCCTCTTTGGGGACGTCAATAGTGCCCATCTTGAAACAGCATGATTTTATCAGCCAACGATCTGTTTCTCTTGCATGGCCACAAGGCCCTGATTCGATTTCAGGGCCGATCGGGAGGCGCTGCGGCAGAACGGCAGCGTTCAGCCCACTCATAGAAATATGCGCCTTCCTTACGTCCTGTGCTCACTGAGCCAGCCCTGCACAGCACACAACGGAAGCACGACACATGCAGAAAGACAGCGGTGGCGGAAGCAGCAAGGAAATGGGACATCAGATGCAAACATGAAGAACTATTAGGGCCATTGGACTTACACGGCGTCTATCCCCTCTCCCCCGGAACCTATGTTGCATCACCTTGGGCCGCGCACACAGACAGTTGGCGCGCTCTGCATGCCTTGCTGCATGCAGCGCTTGTGCTTGTCCTCGCCCTCAGGTCACGCCATCGTCAAATAGACATAGCACAAATTCTGCAAACGCAGGCAACCAACGCAGCGGGTCCGTCCTCCCGCCAAGCCTGCAGGACTTGTGCACGCCCGGTGCTCGCGCGTCACCACATTGGCGGCATTCGTTGGTGTGGTGGTGGCCGTCCCGAACCTGCTGCAAATCATGATGGACCCCCATGAGAGTGCATCCATAGCAGAACACGCCATCAGTTTCGCATCAAGCCATCGAACACATGCACACATGCACACATGCATCGAACATGCACACATGCACCCCACAAACAAGCCTGCACCCCCTCTTTCTGCATTGGCACACTTTTGGCACCAATCTCACCTGGGTATCCGTAACCGGGGCCTGGGTAAGGGTATCCATACCCAGGCCTGTTTGCCCGCCAATCTACTGGCGGCGGGGGCATCGGCTTGGGCAGCGGCATCGGGTACGCTTCCTGTGGCGGCAGGGGCGGCGGCAGATCTAATGTGCTGGGCGGCGGGAGAGGCGGTGGAGATGCATCGGGAGGCAGGGGGGGATTGTCCTCAGGAGGCGAACCGGGGGGTAGTGGCGGCGGGTCCCCTTCGGGGAGGGGAGGGGGGGAGTCCTCAGGCAAGGGGGGAGGCAACGGCGGTGCTGGGGGTGGTCTGCTGGGCAGGGGCGGGAGGGGAGGGGACTCTGTGGGCAGCGGCGGGGGGCAAGGCGCATCCGCCAGTGAGTACATCGGCGGCGGCACACCTGCATGGGCAGGGGCACCGGGCACGTCTCTGTAGTGCGCTGATGCAGCAGGCTTGGAGTCCCTGCCCCAGGCCGACTCTGGCAGTCCCATCTCTCCCAGCTGCATGTCCTCGCTCCCAAACTGCAGAGAGGGGTCTGCGCCCTGCGTCTCTGGCAGCGCGCCCGCCTCCCCGTGCTGGCCGTGGAAAACGTCCTCTGCCTGCGACCCGCGCCATTGAGAATAATGTGGCGCAGCTTCCTCAGGGGAGAAAAAGGAGTCCCAGTCGTCCGCATCTGCATTCGAGGCCGCCATTGGGCCAGCCCACCGATCTGAGGGCACTCTCGGCGCCCGCTGCTCCCGTTCAACAGGCACATTGACATTGTCATTGTCAGATATGACCACCCTCATGGTATCCTCAAAATCGAATGGGTCGGGCGTTCCAGCCCGTGGGCCAGGCCTGCTGGACGCCACAACTGCTTCGTGCCCGCCTGCAGCCCGGGCCTCGCCCAAATATGTCATCTGCTGGCCCACGGAATTCAGGGAGCCAGAAGCAAGGGCGGCGTTGACAGGCCTCTGGAGCCCTGGAAGCGCAGACTCGATACCAGGAATGCCAGGCACCCTCGGCTTCACATCGCTGCCTGTATAGGACGTCCGCAGTGGCGTCAACGAAGGCAGCTCAGGGGCCATCTGGCGTCCCTGCGCTTCGGAAAGATATCCGAAGTCCCAGTCGCCTGGGGAAGCAGGGTACCGCAGCCCATACTGAATGCCCAGTGCAGGGTCCCCCCTGCCAATCGACCCATACTGGTCGAAGAGCACAACCCGACGCGTCCTGGCGCCCAGCAAGTCCACGGGGATGTGTGTCCCGCACATCTCTGTCCCCCGGGTCTTCAGCACACTCAAAACGTCGCCGAAACGGCACCTTGCCTCCCTCAGCTCGGCCATCGCTGGCAGCATCACGCCGTCGGGCAGGAACCTGCTGGAGTCCCAGATGTTGAGCACCTTATCCAGCTTCATGAAGCACTCGATGTCATGGCTCATCGCGTCTATGATCTTGTTCAGAGCGGCAGAGATGAGCTTGGGGTACTGTCCCGAACTGCCATCCCTGGTGCTGTTCTTCCTGGAGCACCTTAGCACGTAATCAATAAGGTACAAGAGGTCTATCTTCTTGTCGACACTCGTCTCGCCAGTTAGGCTGTCCACCATCATCCTCATGATCGTTGGTGCGTACGACACACTGGACATAACAAAACTCGTAGTTTCGCTAATGCTCTCCTTTGTTCGGGAGAGCTTCTTCAGCCGCTTCTCCAAATCCTTCTCTATCCTTGCCCTTTCAGCAGTCTTGCCCCCTGCCTGCGGTGTAGACATGACATATGCCAGATCCGTCTTCCTGTCTGAGGCCACTCCTGAATGCTCCACCTTTTGGCCGTCAGCTTCACCTTCCTCTGGATCTTTGCCCGTACCCGTGCCAAATCTGGGTGTCGAAATGTGCGTCACTGCTGCCTCGTTGTCCACCAGGCCACGCTTCCTTGGATCTCTTGACATAGTGCAGCTGTCCACCCCAACGCTGTCCTGCTTGGGCGAATTATCAGCAGGTGTGTGCAGATCCAAGGGGGGCTCTGTTGAGAGGTGATTCCCCATGTGAATTGGCGTCAGCTGCTGGTTGCCTCCATCTTGGCTGCCCAATTTGGCACCAGGCTGGCGCCTCCTCAGCAAGGCACTGGGGACAAGCGGTGGGGAAAATGCCTTCTCTGCCTTTAAAGGACGGCTGTTTCCTTTCTCAGGCGCTGGGTGGCCACTTCCAGTCTCTGGCTCTGTGCGCTTCGCTCTTTCCCTTGGAGGCAAAAGCCCCTGGGCTGCACCCACTCCTTGAGGCCCTACATCATCAAGGCTATCATTCAGAGGCTGTTGAGATGGTTGAGAGCCCACAGCAGCAAGGGCAGAGCGCCTGGATGGTGAGCCCTTGCAACCCCCTTTCCTTCCATTGCTGGCATCGGGCAGCCCGCGCTCTAAAGAAACCCCAGCACCAGACTGAGCCCGTCTAAACTTATTTGGCCTCTCAAGTGCACATACAGACCCTTTCAACCTGCCCTCCACATGGTCTCTTGCTGCCTGGCTGCCCTTTCCTGAAGATTTGCTCCCCTCTCTACTGCTTGGCCCCCTCTCTGACAACTTCACTAGCCGCTTCCTGCTTGCTACATTGGCCGTCGACTTGCGAGGGCTGCTGGCTGCCTTCTTTGCCTCTGCCAGAGCATTGCACACCTCAACGCCAACTTCTTTGCTCCTGCTTCTCGTGACCCTCACACCGACAACCTCGGCTTCTCCCATGGGGACATCTGTGGGCTCAACATGACGCCGCCTCTTTGCAGGGTACTGCACCACAAATGGCCCTTGATCCCCTGCGTCAACTGCACCTCTGTGCTCAGTAGATGCTGTCCCCTTCTTCTCCAAGTGCCTGTTGCTCCCTGTGCTGCCACCTTTCCTCTTGATGGTGTCGACCAGCAAGTTCTTCGACCCAGCTTCTGTCCCTAAGCTCAGTGTACTGTCTCCATCTGCCCCCTCCTTGGCAGCCAAGGACCAAACCCGGTCATTCCGTCCCCCTTGCGAGCTCAATGGCAACTGTCCAGCACTGGGAGCCACATCCCTGCTTCCTAGAGGATCTGTTGACGTGGATCCCCTGCCAGTGGCTTGTGTGTCCACAGATGCTGAGTTCAGGCCTTCTTGTCCAGAGTAATAGCTAACAGGCCCAACCATATTGAACAGTGCGCTGCTGCCATCATGACTGCCTGGTCCATATTCAGCTGAACGTGCATCGACAGAGGACGCCTCAGGGGCCAGTCCATTGCTCGATGCCATTTCCCCATTCAAAAGAACACAGCCTTGAAGGGACATGGGGTCAATATCATACCATGTCAACTTTCGCACAGCATTGGCAATATTGAACTCACTGTATGCATTGTCAAAGTCCCCCCATTCATCGTCGCCATCGGGGTAGTGTATGAGCCACTTGCCATCTTTGTAGTCTTCTACCTTGCCCAGAAAAACCCCTTCTTCCCCCCAGTTCGCCTGGGTGAACAAGAAAAGCAAAACCAGATTATAGAATCTTCCTGAAGAGAGCAAGTGCAGGGAATGGCGTGCTGGCCAGGCCAAAGCTTGCAGCAGGCAGTGACGACTCAAATTTCCACAGCAGTGCACATCTGTGAATCACATTTCTGCCAGGACACATGCATAAAATGCCACAAAGCAGCATGACGCTCACAGTTCCTACCAGAGGCCCTGCATGAAAGCCCACCAGAATTCAATGCAACAGCAAGCACCAGGGGCGCTTAGGCACGACAGAAGCGCCTTCTGACGCACAAATCTCAGCATCGAACAGCAAACAGGGGCCCTTCCTGCACACGGACCTGGCAACAAAGCAACAAAGGCAACCCTCATCAGCAGGCGCACAGCACCCAATCGCCAGGCTTGCTTGAAAGTGGGTGGACAGATTCCCCAAACTCCCTCCCAAACCGCTCACCTTAACAGCCCTGCCGAGCAGGGGGGGATCGGGCGCCCGCCCTCGGCCCTTGTTGTCCCCGTGCTGGCCGGCCAAACTGCCAAAGTAACACGCCATCTCCTGGGAATCCGTCGCCACGCCGCGGCACCTCAGCTTCAGCCGCTTGCCGTCCTCCGTGAGGAAGACGTCCTTCAAGAAGCACCCAGTCTCCACGGGCTTCTTGACGCTGGCCAAGTCCACGCGGTACTGCATGTCCTTGCGGTAGTAGCCCGTGACCAGCCCGGGGCACCAAGCGTCCAGGTCCTCGTAAAACATCTGCGGGCGGCAGGCAGCCCCGGCACAAGATCTGCCTTCAGCTCGAGGGGCAAAATCGCAACACAAAAGCAGACCGAGGCGCCGCAAATCCCACGCCGGCTCAACCCAGGAAAGCAGAAGTATCCGCCGATCGTGAGACTCGCCCGGGCCGCCCCAAATCGGCGCCAAGCTAAACAGCCCCGCGCCCATCTTCCGCCACCTTCGCGTCCGGTCTCTCCAGCGGCTGGGGCCGCCGCACCAGAGCCAACCCGCGAACCTGCCCACGCCACAGCCGACTACGACAGCACTCGCATCCCAGCCAAACCCACAAATCCGATCCTCCCCCGCAGCCCTCACCTCGATTCTGTAACCCACGAGCTGCTCAGGCGAGAGCCCGGCGGGCATCGCCTCCATCCTCGGGCGCCTCGGGTCGGACACCGGTGCGCGCAGCTGGTGCGCAGCCGACCGCCGCAGCGCCGCGGGGTCTCCTCGGCAGCCCTCGGATGCCCGCGATGCCACGGAAATCTTTGTATCGGAGCGTCAGCAGCCGACGGAGCGCGCGGCAGGGCCGCCTGGCGCACGGGGGGCGCGAGCCGCGGCGGGCCGCACAGCCATGGCGGATCTGGTGGGGGCGTTGCGCAAACGGTGTGTGTGTGGGGGGGTGCCGGCTTATGTACTGGCCTGATGGGACGGCTGTGGGGGGATTTTGATGTGGTCATGCGCCCATCCCAAGCGCATCCGTTTCCGGTTTCGGGTTGAGTGCGTTCAGATTGGGTTGGGTGCGTTCCCAGGGGATAGGCGTGCTGGGGTGGCCCACACGGAATGAGGTCCGAGGCGCCGCAGCCAAGTCGCGCGTCCGTGCGCCTCGCGCCAAGGGGAGTTGGGCTCCCAATGTTCGAACGCGATTGGTGATGGGGGCCTCGAAAGTTGGGGGAGTCTCGCTGCGGCGTTCGCAGAGCGCTGTCTCTTGATTGCCTGTCTGCCAACCTTCCCAGAAAGTGCGCGTGTGTGTGTACCATTCTGTCGACACCCACGACAGCCGTGCCCATTTTGCGCATGATTGCTGGTGAGCAGGTGCGGAGAAGCACGGTGGGCAAGGCCGAACCGACCATCAACTCTCTGCTCCTCACGTTTGCCTTGTGATAGCTGCTGCTGACGCGATAACAATCCCCGGTAGTGCAGAGATGGGGACTGCACATCGCACTTCCGACCACCCAATCTTTGGCCTGAACAAACCTAAACGTGCCATTGCATCAATATTGGCACTTACTATGGTCGATGACACCTGACTTTCCTGTGCTGTTGGCCTGCCACTTTGCTGGCAGGACGCCGCACAAGGGGAGCGAAACGGCCTCGTCGCAGAAAGAGGCCTGAATGACCTGACACACTGTTTTTAACCACGCAGACACAGAAGGGGCTCCCATGGAGGTCACAAACAAGGAAATCTTTCCAGGAAAGCTCACCCTAGCTGTTATTTGAGTCCCATGGTGAAGCCCTGAGGACCTGGAGCGCCAGATTCTCGGAGCGCCAACCTCTGAAGGCACATGAAATAAAGTTCAATCGCATGAATGGCCAGTCTCTGATTCCAGAATTTGGCAACAAAAGTGACTACCCAGGGACGGCCAGCCCAGCATTACCATGCACAGCAACGCCATGCAGCACCAACTGCTGAATGTTGCAAGCATTCTATGTGTGTTCTAGGAGGAACAGGGTTGGAGAACTGCGCCAAAATCCGCCTGCACTGCCACTGACAACTGCTCAAAGGAGTCTGTTTGTTTTCAGGGTTCCTGGATTGTGCTGCTTGCAGTTGCCACAAATCTTCAGGGAGCCCCCAAAATCTGCCACTGTTCTCAATGGCTGTCGACGTGGAGGAACACTGGTGCCCATGCCAAGCAAGGAAATGGACTGGCGAAGCCGGTTGGTAAAGCAAAGTGGAACAGTGTGACCAGCACTCATGATGCTTCCACCTTTGGCTGTGCAAATGTTGCACTCTCTAAGCTGTTAAGATCACAAGCTGACTGTGAGCAGCTGCACAGTCACAGCCTGCTATTGCAACTGCAATTGACTGTGTCAGCAGGCAACTGTACAACAATGTGCTGCAAGGGCAGGGATAAGAAGGGGGTCTGCATAGCTCCAAAGAAAACCTTTCAGCTCGAATCAACAATGTGTCACTGCTCGTTCGGTGGCTGCACGAACTAAATGTCCTTGAGCCACAGATGTTTTGGGCCTTGAAGCCAGCCGTGAAGGTTGTTAGCTTTCTTCCTGTTTCATCAGAAGTGTTGGAGTCCTTGCAGGCAACATGACGTATTCCCATGCACTTTCAACCCACAACAATATGCATTAATCATTTCTACAGGTTTGGGCGCGACAACGACCTACTTTCATCCCCTTCCCTGGATGATGTCACCTATCCAGGTTTCTCATACCTGTATGTGCTACCTGTTGAATATGGATCAGTCACACTTGTCATTCTCATGGCTGCAAAGCTTTTTGCTGCACTTGCACTCTTTCAAGTCATCTGTGCAGCAACAACAAGAGATTCAAAAGTCTTGCTCAGATGAGGGATGACCATTGGACCACAAGTTTCTTTCTCTAAATTCATGACTACACTTCACAAGTTCTCTCTGACTTGCTTGCCCAATTAGTGCCGCTGTCCAGGCAACAACATTTCCAATTTCTGCAACATATCTACCCACAATGTCCAATCTCCATCCACACAGCCAGTGATGTGCCAGGCTGTGCTGGGCTGGATGTGTGCAGGATGTGAGTACATCAGTATGGGTAAACTTGCAAGTTCGGTCAACCGGAACAAGCTCCTTAATCCAATGGATTCATCAATGGGCACCAGGCACAGTTTAGGATACGAGATGCAGCCATTAAGTCCCCTCGCCCGCCATGCTCAGCACCATGTGCGAAATTGCACACATATGCAGGCATGGCAATGAGAAGCCATGTTACTAGGCCAGCACCAGGCGTGCAGCAGGTCCGCAAAGTGCAAAAGAATGTCTTACAACCGCCACTAGTGCACCTAAACTACAGCTCAGGGTCCGTTGCCCCATCCTACATAAAATTATTCCTTCGGAGTCCTCTCCTGCCCCATGGCCCATACAAAACCGGGTTGCTCCCATGGCCCATACAAAACCGGGTTGCTCCCATGGCAAACCCAGCGTATGCAGCAGCAGTCTGGTGTATGTGTTTGCCCACGGGCTGGCATCCGGGCCACCAACACCTTCAACAGCCTGCCACGGCGCCCCCCGTATCCAGGAGCAAGGGCCCCGCTTTGTCCCACGAGACATTTATGCGAACCAACTTTGCCCTCCATTTCTGCTGACGAGGCCCTTGTCAGGCTTCAGTGAACACGCACCGCCTCGGATCGCCAAGAAGTCGCCAAACGGCCCACCGCACCGCCCCAAACCCGTTCCAAGCGCTCGGGCGCATCGAAGTGGCCCGCAGCAATCCGTGCGACGTCCCCCCCCTCCCCGTGGCCTCAGCGGCAATTAGTCAGTACTTGTTTATGCCGAACAGCCGCACACCGTGCATCGCCGGCGTCTTGGCCACCAGCAGCACCACCACTACCACCAGGTTCAGCAGCAAGGGCTGCTGCCGGAAGTCCGAGCCGTGCGTGGCCAGCAGGAACAGCACCAGGGGCACCACGGCGAAAAACTTGCGGTTGCGCGTGCCCTGCTCCTCGTCGTCCAGCTGCTCCCAGAACGTGTGCGAGTCCCACACGCCTTGATCCTCCGCGATGGGCGAGCCCTTGGTCCAGTGCATCAGGTAGAAGGTGACGGCGCCGTGGAAGAGGTGGACGTACGTCCAGGCCAGCCCCGCGTCCATGAAGGAGGAGAGGGCCAGCCAGGTGAGGGCGATCAGGCCCAGGTACCACAGCCAGGCGCCCTCGGCGTTCAGCCAGTTGGTGTTCTTGTTGACGCGGGCCTCGGAGACCGTCCGAGACACGGCCATGCCTCCCGCGGGGACCGGATGGAAAGCGGGGCGACGAGAGCGTGGCCCAGGAGGAAACGCGCGGCGGCAGTATTTCTGACCTGATTCCGACGGGAATGGATGGTTTCAAAGTCTTTTTTTCGACCTTTTTATGCCAATTTTTGGCCACTTCTGTCCTTCTTTTGCCCTTCCTGTGCCCTTCTTTTTTCCCTTCCCAGCCCTTTTTTTGCCCATATTTGCCCTTTTTTGCCATTCTTTGCCTTGTTTGCCATATTAGTGATGCAGCGACTGGTCGACCGCTTGGCGGGGTTGTGGGGGGACCTGGCTCTTTGGGGCAGTTTGCAGCGGCGCTGGGGTTTGGCGCTCGGAAGACTTACTTTACGCCTTGAGCGAAGGTTGTGGAATGGTTGTGGCCCTGAATAACGCCTCATTCGCATCACCGACATGCTTTGCCCTATCTGTTGCTACTAAAATGCAGTCCACTGTGTAAATTTTTCTGCGTGTGACAGCCGAGATGTACCATTTTTTGAAATGCATTGAGTTGACAGTTGACTCGGTTTGGAGCTTTCGTGAGTGACGTGTGACTATGTTTGTGCGCTGGCAATACTGGCCGAGAGGTCAGGATGCCACAATCGACTTGGTATCTGCGGTGCCACTAATGATTTTGTCAGCTTTGCCAGAACGTCGCCTGGCAGTTCACCAGGCTGGTGACAACACAAAGGAGGCGCTTTCTGAAGAGCATATTCCTTGTTGTCGATTCGTCTATCAATGCTGTACAGCTGCTGGATTGCATCGAGGATCGTGCGCACATCTCTCTTGTCTCTCTGACCAACTTTTTGAAGCAGCCACAACAGCTCCCATCGATTAGAGTGTCGCAAAATCAATTCCATTGAAGCATGGTCGATCGGAACTTTCGCCTACAAGGGCATCATGAGTCTGGTGACATTTCTGCTCCAACTAAACAATACTGAGACACAGAGGCAAGGCGAAGTCCGTGCTGATGGCAAAATTACGGGGTGCGACTCCGAGATGTGCATCAATTTTTCTCCGGGTGGAACTTAGTTTTCTTGTCATGGGCACTGACACAACAACAAAGGCAAAAAAGTTGACATCCAAGAATACTAACGGCTTTGGAAGCTTCCTGTGTATCGCCATCCCAAATCCCATTACAAAGCAGAAAATATTGCCCCAAAAAGACCATTTGCTGCCCCATCATCCACTGCCATCCTGCCGCCTTGTGGGACTGTCCTTCAGGCTCATTTCCAGCCGCTCCACCACTTTACCCACAACGTCAAAGTCATGGCTCGGATAGGGACGCTGCACCACTGGCACAACCTCCACCACTGGATTGTCTGGGAGCTGCACATCATCGTCGTTTGAAATTTTATCAAGGTATTGCTGTGCCAAGCCTAATGGAAATCCAACAAGGCCTGCCAGTCCAGCTCCCAGTGCGGCACTACCCAATCGACTCCGAAGCCCTCCTGAGCTTGCTGCAAACACCAAAAGAAGACGCCAGTCTCAGCTACAAGTAGCAGTGGCGATGCAGTGATGTACGAGTGAATCAATGCTTCACTTTGGAATGCACAAGCTTTACAGTATGTCCTTCAGGGACACGACAGACAACCCGAGATACTTAATCACTGCATATTGTGAATCCTGATGTGCTCATGGACGTCGTGACAGCAAAGTCCACCACAAACGCACTTCTGGCAGGAGTGGGGATTTCCCCTGCTGCATTGACCACAACATGGCCTTACCAACAGGGCGCGCTGCCAATGCCGACATGCGTTCGCTGTTTCACAGAACAGAGACACTGCACAGAGCATGCTGCTCTCCAGCGCCAATATAAAACCGCACAATTCGTCTCCTGAACAGCGCGAAACAGCGCAACGAAATCGTGAGTGCTCCACCAGCAGTGGATGAACAAAGTCCTCACCTGCAAACCCCATTGCCGCCCCCCCCGCCCACGCCCCGAACACGGTGTTGTAGGCGTCCCGCCTCCTCCGCGCGTACTCACTCAGCGACTGCACCCCAAAGTACAGCCCCCCCAGGCCCGCGAACCACAGCCCGCCGCGCAGCATCCCGTTGAACAGCCGCGCCAGCCTCCTGGTCTCCATCTCCGCCTTGAAGCGTGCGATCTGCGCCTGGGTCCGCATGCTGCTGGGCGGCGGAATGTCCGGCAACCGCCGCTCAACCAGCCACTGGCGCAGGCCGCCGATCGCCAAACCCGCGAACATGACCGTCGAGGTCTTCCCGCCCCACTCGCCTAGGCCCTCGGGGGCGGGGGGCAGCTGGGCGCCCACAGAACACATTCACCGGCGCACTACAAGTGAACTCACCAGCACTTTTGCAGGTGGTTTGGAAGTGCGTGGGGTGCTGCGGACTATCGGAGGGCACAGTTTTATTTGGGCCACCCACTGAGCCTGTCCCTTGCAAGCAATGCTCTCAGTCTGTTTGCATTCCTACTGTTGGCAACTGTCTCGGGCCGTAAATGGTCCAGAGCGGTGGTCCAAAGCTCCACTTCAACACCCGAAGGTGCAAAAGCACTGGGATGGGAGCCATGGCGGCCCGAGGTCTCTCAGCACCGCAATTCTAAATCCAGCCCGCTGGACCCAACCATCAGCCCACCAGCCGCCTTGGCGCCAAGTGGAAGGCTGCGCTCAAAACGCGCCGGGCGCAATGGGCTGGGGTATAAATGAACGAGTCCAGATCCACCGCAGTGTGGCCGATGCCCACCCTCCAAAATGGTTCGCTGGAAAAGCCATTGCCACATCACATGCGTGGATTGCCTGCCCATCGACGTCGCTAAGAACGATTGGCGACGGGACGGTGGGGGGTGGGTGGGTGGGGGGGGGGGACCGCTCACCTGATCGTTGCAATCCACCGTCGTGAGGGCAAAGGAGAAAAGCTTCACGAGCCGCTCCCAGGGTCCATCGTCGTCATCAACCGCCGCCCCCATGCTGCCACCTGCCGCAGTGCGCTCTCCTCTGCTGCCCGATGACTCGACGGCCAGACCACCGCCTGGGAACAGCTGACAAGCTTACAAAGCTTCCCCGGTGGGATTGTTTGCATTGCAACCTCCACCACGCAGAGCGGGGCCCTAAAGCCCAGCCCCCGGCCCCGTGGGCCCACGCGAAGGGCTCCAACTTGACAATGAAACGATGTGCACAAAGCCAATTGGGCGCTTGCAGGAGTCCTGAACTCTTGTGGGGAGTGGCGTCCCACCGGCCTCAGCACTTCGTAGAATAGCGCGTATTTGGACGCTCATAATTTGTGCGGATGCCGAGCACCAGGGCACGGCATTCGCACAAATATCAGCGCCCAGAATGCGTCCTATGGTGCTAATTGCCTTGGTACCAAGGCAGTCGTCATTGCAACGAATAGAGGATGGGTACCTATATCCCTTCATACTGAGTGAAGTCTTCTGTAGGTTCAACAAATTTTCGTACCCTTCCATCCAGACAGCTGCAATCGTAGCAAGATCTACATCGTGTTATTGAGTTTGTGCTACGTGTTTCACAACGTGCAGAGATGCTAACTTCAGCTAAGGCCCAAACCCTCTCAATGGAGTGTTCCCAGGCAGCTCTTGTCATACCCCTGTCGGCCTCCTGGGACATGTCACACAGTATGTACATCTTGTGCACGATCATCTCCAAAAGGCTCGCTTGTCCCCTTCCCCAGAGCAGCTGAAGAGCGCGGCAGGGGGAAACGAAATCGGGGACGTCCCACCGCTTTGCACGCACAGCACCGGCGATTTATCCACAGATATCCGAGCACGAACAGCGCATGGGCTGTTAACATTCAGGCGCACGCAAACCAAAAGGATATGGACAGAAACGCCGACAGAAACCGGAACGCTTCACAGAGATGCACTCACAAACCCCAAAGACAACTCGAACGACGAGAATTCCATGGGTGCCATGCCGAAATCCGAATATTTTGGGCTAAAACCGCTGACTTTGGAGCCAGACTGGTCGGCCTACACGCCGCGACCTGTGTGCAAAGGGCACACCTTGAAGAACACCGAAAAGGTGCTTGCAGCTTCACATTTTTTTTCTTTGTTCTCTTGCATGCCCCCCAAATCGGGCAGTGCGAACTTGTGACGCTGCACACTCCGCGGCAGCCACCCCAAGTTTGTGCATGTAAATACGCTAACCACCTCAAAAGAGGCAGTACAATCAAATCTGGCAAAAATCTCTATAAGTTCATGTCCAAACATAGTTCTGTCATTGCAACCCATACTCTACTATTCATATCACATCCGTGCACGCTTTGACACGTTCCGCATTGTGCTTCTATCGTCTTTACGCAAACCCTTTGCAACACTCAGGTGGCCATGTTTCTACCTCTTTGCCATCTATCCCGGATATATGCAGCACCGCACGGGAGTCTGTGCCAAAACCCAAAAAGATCGCAGAAAAAATCTTTCACAGCCACGTTGCCGCGGAGAGCCGGTTCTCACCTTCCGCTTCCCAATGCTGCAGCGCATTGCTCAAAAACAATGCAACTGCGTCCATCCATGCCACAAGTCAACCCCCTGATTCAATTGATTCAATTACAATATCTGCCACACTGTGACACAATTGCCATGCTGCTCACGCAAGCATATATAGTCAATATCTTCTTGATTTTGTGTATACCAGATAATTGCCATTTCAGACGTTTCTTCACTCAGCAGGTCGCCTCAACATTCTGCACGGCATGTGGCACAACAGAATGACTTAAAGCGCACCAGACATTAAAGTAGAAAGGGATGGCATCACACATCTATGTAGCTTATCTTTGACCATTTTCGCATCGTTCGGACTTTGAAGCCCATGCCACTTCAGATGACCTTCGTCGTAGCAGTCATTGAGGAAACAACCATGCAACATGCCGACATGTACACTCATGTTCTGATCGGCGAGTTTGGGCATGAAGTCTTGAGTGACAGCTAAATTCAATGCACTGACGTAGTGCATGTTCTCAGGTGCGTGCATATTTTGCTGCTCTAGCGCATAGCTCAAATTGTTATTGACGACACGCATGGTGCTGACGAAGGCAGGCAGGATCGAGGGGTGGCGATCCCTGAACGGGAATTGTACGCTCGCTTCCACGGCAACGGTTTACAGCCGAGGCAAAAGGACAACAAGCGTTCTGTCCTTTATACTCAGTCCGTTCATCAAGATCCTTAATGCAATTCCTAGTGCTTCGTCATCTTTTCATGCATTCAGTCATTAACAACACTCAATCAGTTCTAGCCGTAACAGTGCCTTGCTCTTGATGACCTGATTTTCAGCACTGCGTCCCTTTCCGCCATGGTCTGCCTTGGTCGCATCATTCCGCGTGGCCAGCCTTGTGAAACCACTACTGCTGCTCCGGCTTTTCCCATGAAACTCTCCGTCATGTCGTCTTGCGATCTTGGGCTCGTGCGCGTGTGCCTCTGCATTGTTTCGTGCTCGCCGCTCAAGCCAGAATTTGGGCATTTCCCCTAATAATTGCGCATTCTGGCAGCGCGCAGCCCCTCTAACATTAGCATGTTGCGTGTCACACAGATGTTTCGGGACAGCTTCGTTGACTGACAGCTTTGTGAACTGATGCGGTCTCCTCTTCCTTGTATCTTTGTCAACAGCATGTCCGCCATCATTACGAGCTTTTGGTGATGTGTTCAACTGCTTTGTCCAATGAATTCAGGAGCACATGGTGCAGCAGCTGATGTGGTGATCGTAATCATCTTTTTGAATGTAAGCTACAATTGGCGACTCGAACACAACGTAATTTCCATAGTACGTTGCTGGCTTGACGGCGGCCAAAACGGCTCCGAATGAAACCAAATCTCCTTCACAGCTCCTGATCACATAATTGTTATTCCATTTTCCATCAGAAATTTCTTCGTTAACCGCAGTGTCAGAACCCAAGCAGCTGTGCTTTGCTCGCGGCCACAAGCTTGCCTGTTGCCTAATTAGGAGCCACACTGATCACAGCGACCAGAGGAGGAACCAGGATGAATCAGCCATATGTCACACCATCACTCAAGTGCAACTGAATTGGCAGATTTCCATAGAAGCCCTTACGCTCAGAATCCAGTGTAGGCCATCGGCTAGTAGAACACAACGGGCTCCGCCAACGACGGTGATGCAGAGAGGCAGCAGCGTGGCAAGAGAAATGTACGGTCTTTTAAATCCAATCCACCCATTAAAGCACTTCTGAAGAGTGAGATCATTCATATGATCGACCGCATCGAGCAACGAAATAGAGTATGATATCATGCTCTTCGTTAATGCTTAATACTTGCAAGTACAAACAATCCATGCACACCACAGCGATTGACGAAGTACTGCAAAACTGCGCGGAAACCTCACTGCTGACCTACAATGTTTTCAAAGAACAAGATGCTTTACCTGCAACATTTCTTGCTGCAATTCGCAGTGCCGTTCAATTTTCCAGGTAGGATCCCTCAAGGTTGTGAGAATACTGGAAGCTCGTGCTGTCCCGAGTAGACATGAGTGTGATTGAAAGTGTGCGCCGTGAACCAAAGTGCAAGAGTACATATTGCAGAACTCCATCCAGAAATGATCGATTTGTCGTATTTTCATATCATGTGAAGCAGAATTGAAGTGCACTAAACATGCGGTTCAAAATCTACTGAAAGTCTACTTTGAGCCAGCAACTCTGAACCTGGCCATGTCGGCTCCCGGATTTTGATCGACTAGTTCAGCACCTGCAGTGAAATCCAGGAGCATTCCTGTATTCCATGAGACGGGCACTGGGCAATATGGCATTGACTGCAATGACTCCCCTGAACGTATCTCGCATTCTATCGAGCAACCGGTTTAAGCGTGATACTTGAGCGCCAAACACAATTCACCTTAATTGGGTTGCAGTTGCAGCAATTTTAACATTCTTCCTGATTGCTGAGGGTGGAATCAGGGACTTGTTCATATTCTGGTATGTATATCCAGGATATGAAGCATTTGGCCGACGTTCTTATCGATATGATATTTCCGTATCATGAAACGTACATCGTAACAAATTGACTGGAGATCATGTACTTCTGCACACAGCCGTGCACACAAATGTGTGCAGTGTGATGCATCGCTGCTTAGCGAAATTCGCGAGCTGTTCCCAAGGTGCAGGTTACACGAAATGACCATTTGGCAACTACAAAGCAGCGATCCGAGCACGCTTGTTCATGATTCATGAGCAATTGTCCCTTATATTGCAGATCGAATAGTACATGGGCACTATATCCCGGATATACAAATGCAGGCCATACCATATCCTGGATATCCAGGCTTATATCAATATGGCGAGGATATGGGCGCGGATATAGCAATATCGCACTGGAATATCGCCATTATTCTGATGGGAAACTGCCTCCCATATCCCCAGGATATGGCCATCACTGGATATGCAGCCTTTTTGGTGGGGGGAGGGGTGGAACCGTGAGCACTACCAAAGTATTCAGTTTCGCTGCGACCAAAACAGACAAGGACGAAGCAAACCGTCCTTTGGATTGCGCAGAGGCGCCGTGAGCGTGCTTTTTGCTGCCAGTGCCCGGCATTTTTTCATAGTGTGACACAGGTTGCAGCGTGGTGTATACACCATGACAATACATTATCATGGACGCCATGTCAGAGGCTTGGTTGGAGAGATGCGTATATGCTTATTGCTTATTTGTGCATTGCAACTGCCGCAGGGAATGCAAGCGCCAACAGCCAATTGACTTGAAAATGGCCAACGTTGGCCACGTTAACTACATATGTAGTTAACTACAGGCACAAATATCCGATACCCTTCATGTCCAGACATGAAATCATGAAAGTCCTGAAGTTACGAAGATCATGAGAACATGAAGTCATCAGGCTAATTTTTGGGCTTAGGGACTTAAAATTGTAAATCTGTAAATCTGACAGTTCAAATTCCCTGGTACACTTCATGGCCTTCATATCCGAAAGCGATAGAGTATCTTCACCACAGACAATGAACAACACACAATGCGCTCTCTGTTGCCCGACCGACCAGAGGTGGTCGGATGTGATGGAAAGCAGCGTTCCGTTGCATTTGGACGTGACTAATCTTGAGCTGCGGGGCGCCAACTGTCGCCGCGTTTTCATGCCGCAGGGTCGCGCTGCTGCATACACGAAGTCATGGACGCCTCTTTGCTTGGGCGAAACAGGGAGGCAGTGGCTGCCTCCTCGCCTTGATGCGTAAAATTTCCCGATGAAGACTGATTGAAGCGCCACCCTGGCGCACACGCCCATCGGTGGTGATGGGCCCCATCGCGCGAACATCAACATTTCCGTTCCTGCCCCCCGGAGTCAGAAGAACCCAACCTCCAAGGTTGACGGCATTGGGATTTCCGATATGCTTCCGATTCGAAAACACCCCTGCTTACAAGGTGGATGGCGTCGGGACTTCCTATGCACTTCCAAATCGCCCCCCCGCCCCCCGCTCCTCCGAAGTGAAGAATATGTTACTCCCTCCGTCTTTTTCGCGAGGACCCCACAAGTACCTGGCGTTGCGTGACGCCGCCGGTTTGGGGTGTTTAGGGGAATCCGCGTGACGGGGGAAGGCGTCACTTCTTCCGCTGAAAAGGCCGTCGGTCGCACTGGTAGAAAACAGCCTGTTTGCGATGCCAACTGCGATGCCATTTTGACACAAATTGATGCCATCGCAGTGAGTGCGATGGCATAAAGGGGCCGTGATGGCATCAATTTGTGTCAAAATGGCATCGCAGTTGGCATCGCAAACAGGCTGTTTTCTACTGGTGTCGGTGGGTCAATGGTTTGGGGTTTAGAGTGTCGAAACAAGAAGGGACCTTCACGGAAAAGACAAATCGACCAATTTCACACCCTCCGAGGTTGACGGACTCCGAACTTCCGACACACTTCCGGTATCGGAGCCGCCTTCGATCGGGGCCCCGCCGGGGGATCGCGGTATCGGAGCGCCAACAAAGCGGAAGATATTGTGCATATTAGGCCTTTTGGCCAAAAGCAGGGTGGTGTGCCAGGCGGGAGGGCGGGCACCCGAGGAGCGAGCCGGCCGGCGGGCGACGGCCACGGGAGGCCGCCCCGGCCAGAGCCCCCCCTTCCGCGGCCCCCGTTCGGAGCGCGGGATTGGGCGGACCGGGCAGCGAAGGCGGCCGGCGGCGACTGTAGTGCCCGCGCTGTGGCCCATACATCAGCCCCGGCCGCGCCGCACCCGCCGAGGGCGCGCTCCTATCTGGTGGGTCGACCGCCGCGCCGCCCGGGCTCAGGTCGTGCGATCATCTTGATCGCGACGCGCGGGTGGGCAAGCGGCTGTTTGGGGTGGGGGTTGGGTAATGGGGTGGGCTCGTTGCTTTCTTGGGCGGCGTGGATGCCGGGACTGGCCGGGTGTCTGGCTTTCTGGGCGAATTGGCGGGCCTTCCGGTCGCGATTCGCCCCATCGCGAGCCCCTGGGGGCCCCAGGGAGGATGATCTTGGCTCAACGGCTTTTGATTCCGGGGCCGCCCTGTACGGTCGCCACCGGCCAGCGCACCAGGACCAACCGTCGGCTGCGGTACGACAAATGCGACTCCTTCGAGCGCGTCGAATTGATGGCGACTGGGAGGCTGGAGGGCGATGCGAGCTCTTGCGCGGGAGAATCACACGACGCGGGGCTTCGGTGCAGCCGGGCTGGCGGGCCCGACCGGGTTCAATGCCCTGGCTGCCGGGAGGTCGGCTCTGCCGGCCTCCCACACATGTGGAACTGATTTTTGGGGTTGGTTGTGGCCGACGTCCGCGCTTCGTCGTGCTGGCTGTCGCCGCTCGGCGGAGGTGCAGGCGGCCGGTCGGCGCGGTGGCGCCGCGTGTGGCGTGGAGCCTGTGTTTGCGGTGCCATGCTCCTGCATCATTGTGCACAGTATGTGAAAGGCGTGCGACAGCTTGTGAAAGGGAAGACGCTCGCTCCAAGGCGGGGATGTCGTTGTGCGAAACGTTCTCATGTCCGTTCGAAAGAGGATCTAGTGGTGTCGCTGCTGTTCGGTTGGAGTCATGCGGGCCTTCCTCCCCTTTTCAAGTGCCCATGGAGGCTGACTGTGGCGATTCGTGCACCTGCAGGCTCAGCCAGGTCGATGACGGACCCCCTGGCCCTGCCGGTGCCCGCCCCATCCGGAAGTGGGCTGGAAGCGGCACAGGCCGTAAGGGCCGGCCAAACCCTTGGGGACGGCCGAAAGGTGTCCCCATCCGACATTCAACTTGTGCAGAACTTGATAGAGAGGTGCCTGCAGGCATACATGCCAAAGCTCGAGGTTGTCAAGACGCTTCAGGAACAGTACAACATAGAGCCACGTTTCACCACACTTGTGTGGCAGCAGCTGGAGAGGGAAAACCCAGAGTTTTTCTGGGCTTACTACCTCAGGCTGAAGCTGAAGGACCAAATCGTCCTGTTCAACCACCTCCTGGTGCAGCAGCATCAGATGGTTCAAAAACTGCAGCAGAGGTTCATCCCCCCGATGGTGCCAAGGCCAGCTGCAGAGTTTTCTGGTGTGTCCCCTTTTGGCACGGTCCAGATGCCTACGAACCAGCACTTGCAAGCAGGGGCACAGACGCAGCGTCAACCAGGGGCTGTGGTACAGGCCAACGGTTTGTGCTCGCACAGCAGCCTGCCTGGAAGGCTGGCTCCAAGCCCTGACGGTGTTGTTGCCTGCAGCGAGCCAGCACAGCAGGGCCCGCTCGCAAACCCGTTGATGGGCAGCGGGCTTGTGCCTGTTTCTTCGCCTACCCCACCTGCACCTAGTGCTCTACCAGGGATGGACCTCCAGGGGATGTATGGGATGGGCCCACTTGCGCTGTCTTCACCGCTGGACCTGGAGTTCAACTCCAATTTGTTGCCGACCTGCTCAAGTCCTGACTTGGCGCTGCCTGGGACAACGGCTGACTTCATGCTGTCCGAAAGGGGGATGCCAGGTATTGGCACAGGGTCAGCCAACGACCTGCAGGGCATGGCGCAAGCATTCAGCTATCCTGACTTGGCTTCATTAGATATCCAGGTACCTCCCTACATGAACACCGAGGGGGACGGCCTGACGGGGGCGATCATGTCCGACTTGCCCCGAATTAGTAGTCTATCGGATATGACGCCGCTAGATCTGGAGGCGCTGGACCGATCGTGAAATACCTCCCTGGCCAAGCAAGAATTTTCCAAGAAAACCCTGGAGATGCAACCCATCACCGGGCAGTGCTGGTGGCGATGCTGATGGTGCGACCTGAGTGGTACCTGCATTATGAGTGGCGGCATGGCCTGATGGCTACATTCTCCTGTGGCTGGGCAGTTAGAGATTGATGCAGCACCCATTGGCTGGGGAAAGTGTACATATATTTCCTGGGACCTTGTTGTTTGTAGGATCTGGCTTGGAGCATGGCTGCCCAATTGCGGCAAAGATGCACACCAGGGAAGAGGCTGCTGGCTCAGTTTGCTGCCAGTTTCTTGCTGTGATGCCAGAAACAGATGTTATGGAGATGGCTCGAGTCAAGGACACCGAAAAATTGGTGGTTTGTTCTGTGGGATCAATGCTCAACCTGGTGATCCCGTATGTACCCTTCGCTTGTACAATTTCTTCAAGTATTGCGCAGTGCTTTTGGCAGCTGGAGTGCTGTACCTGTGCATAGGGAGGGAGCTTGATGCATGCAGTTCGGCTTCGGCATAAGCGCTGCACATTGGCGGCGATGCAGAATTGAGGCAAAGCATCTGTAGGTTCTTTGTTTCCAATTTTTTGGCAGGGGTGGGGATCCAGGCAGGAACTCTGCTGGAGTTGCTTGCCCATATATGGAGGTAAGCTTCGCTGAGGGGTGCCTAATCCCTGTTGAATTCATTGGTTACCATGGCATGCCCTGCACAAGGGTGGTGCCCAACCCTGCAATTTTATGATGTTGGAATCTCTTGTCTGAGATCATGGAAGATTCAGCGACAGCGGCGCTGGAACGGTCCTCGTTCGGGCTGGATGAGACAAGCCGTGAGCTTTTTGTGTCAGTGGCCCCTAGATGTGCATCGAAAAGGTGGCCCAACACCCAAATTGTGCCCTACCCAGGCAAGACGAGGAACAGAGCGAGCAGAATGCAGTGCCCCTGCTGCGTGCAGAATTCGTGAAGCAGACATAGGTCGGCGCGATAGAGTTCCCAAGATGGACACTACACAATGCGATGTATTGCGACTTTGGTAGCTTCCATACACCTCTGTACCTGCACCTGGGAACTGCCTTTGTACAAGAATGTTCAGCCGATTAACTTTATCTTTGTCATGCCTCATGGCGTCCACCGCTTCACTGGGTAGGTCACCTATGACCAACTCAGCTGTGTCCCCAAGCCCCTGGCCGTGCCTGCCTCCGACATAGTCTCACCCCGAACTTGGCGTATCATTACTATCAAAAAGACGGGTGGAGACCAACAGGCTCCTTGTGAAATTCCGGGTGGCTTCACAACGGTTCGACTACCTGCCAGACAGGGTTGTTTGGCGGTGGCTAGCTGCGCTCCATACTTGCACGATGCGCGTTTCCAGCGAGATGTGATAAAAGGAAAATTCTGCCTCTGTTTCAAAAGTCTTGCAGCTTATCCAAATCGCGCAAATGGAGGTCAGAACGTGCGAGTCAAAATATGTGACCAACACAGCTCCGATGCGCATCGGATGATTATCGATGATTATCGGATGATTGTCGATGGCGTTGGTGGCGTGGGAGATGGCACTGTCGTTCTCCAGATATGTGAAAGAGGAGCACAGACGCCACTTTTCCTCGCGTTGGGACGTGGAGCGGGGCATTGCGAGCTCACCTTGCCCTTTAAAGGAGGTGGGTCGAGCTGGACTATCGCTAGGGGAAAGGTATGGCTTGGTCGTTTGGTATGCACTGGAGATTCGGCTACCTTCACAGCAGGATCAACAGAAGAAAATATGCGGGCTTGCTACAGAATTTCGGGTGTCAACGAGAATCGTGCGTATGTTGTGGCCAAAGGCCAGGAGACACGTAGATTAGTGCAAGAGCATTGACTCAGCCAGTGCACTAAGGTTGGGAAAGCCGTGCATGCCACCGCCGGGGTGCATGGGGGTGGGCAGGGAGTAGTGGGGGTTGGGGTTGTGGGGTGGGGGAGGGTTTGCACGGTACAATCTGGTGCCATTTGATGACCCTACTTTAGAAGGCAAAGGCACTGCAACATGGCAAAATACCAAGCCACGGCGTGTTGGGTTTAACGCGCGCTCGTGCCCAGCGTGTGAGGGGTGATGTGACGCAATATGTGCATCGTGGCGATCTGATGCAATGCGAAGCCAAGGCGACAGTGACGATGGACGTTGGCTGAATGCGCCTCGCCATTGAGCGTGTCGCTGCCGTGCTGGCGATGGCAAAGCAGCCGAGCGCACCACCACCATAAATGCGGCAGCCGCAGAAACACGTCACATTCGGCAACGGATGTGCCATTGCGTGCACACTGCCCTGTCTGGCATTGCGCATGCAATGCAAGACAGGGCAGTATGTATGAACAGATACAAGACACTGTTGTGGGGCAAGTAGGGAAGGTCATCAACAGCTCCCCAATTCAAATGGGGGTGAGACGCTTACTCATTTTGGGAAATTGTGATTTGAGCATGGCGGCAGACACCGAGGCGCTCCGCGATCCGTGGGAACTGAGAAAATTTGTGATGCTGACGAAGGCAGGCAGGGTCGTAGTTGTGTCCCTTGTACCCAGTCCGATCGTCAATGTCCTTAATTCCTAATACCCCATCACTTCTTTCTGCATCCAGCTGTTAATGACACTCAATCAGTTCTAGTTACAAAAAAGCTTTGCAAAACGACGCGAACATTGTGGAAGATGTTCAGCGCGGGCCGTTGCCTGTTCCCAGCAGCACTTTGTTGTGACTCTCGGAGGTTGCTAGTCTCGGCAGCGACTTTGGGACCTAGCACGACATTGCTCCCGCGACATGTAGTGTGCTGATGCGGTGGCACGATGATATGCGACGGGCAAGCTGCAGTGGTCACCAGTTGGTCAGTATTGATATATTAATACGCCTTGAAGGAACTTTTACCTCGTCCACCACCAAGCGCGCCGGCACAAAACAATACCATTACAGTGCACATATCCACAGCCCTGTGTTGTTTGAAAGCCCCCTGCAACCCTCGTTCGATGCCTATTCACAGCACATCCTCAAAATCGGCCAACGTAACGCCCACCATCTGTCAGCTGTCGCAACCTAACCGCCACCTCACACAACTGCAAATCCCGCGCGTGGCGGCGGGATGCAACCACCGACCCCCCCTGCACCCGGCAACTGCCCTTCCCAACCGCGGTCCCAGTCGCAGTTTACTACTCCACGCACCTAATGTCACATGTTGCTCGTTATTTTGCCCCGCCCCAAAACGTATCCACCGCCTGGGCCCCTGGAGGAAGACACACAAAGGGCAATTCGAGCAACGAACAAATTCGTCCCGAGCGGGAGTGCAATTCGGCGTCAGAGGAACAGGTAGGACGCCACGTCGCTCAGGGAGATGATGCCCTCCAGCTGGCGGGTCATCGGGTTGGCGACCATGAGCCTGCGGACGCCCGGCACGGCCAGCCGCTCCACGACGGTGCGCAGGCTGTCCTGGCGCGAGACAATGTGGGCGCGCGTGGACGTGGCGACAGGTTGGCCCTGCCCGGCGCGAACCTGGCCCTCCACGGACGAAGGAGCGCCGCCTGAGATACGCAACAAAGATGCCATCAAAAAGTGCACCAAGAAAGCGTGGCAATGATGGAGTTTATCGGCAAATTCGCCACCTCTGTGGCAACGATGGGGTATATTGGTCCATTCGCCAGTTGCCGTGGTGACAAACCACATGGCGCGAGCAGCGCGTGCACCAGAAATTGTGCCCATTACAACACACGGAGCAGCGACGGACAGTCATATCAAACGACCCCACGTTGAAATTTGCCGTCTTGGAGGCAAGCTGCTAGTCGCCTTGCTGCAAATGCACCGAGCGCTGGATTTCGCTGCTCAGATTCGTCTCTGCGAACAGCCATCAGCACACAAGTTGACAGCTCGACAACTGACAAAAGCCGGCACGTGTGGGCTTGAGTTCACCTTGCAGGCTGGCGGTCAATCCGCTGATGGCACCAGCCTGGGGCCTTGATGGGACGTGCGAGCTAGGCCTTGCCAGGTTCAGAGCCTGCTGCACTGTCATCTCCTCGTATTGAAGCCTGCTGTACGCATTGCCCTTGGCCAGATTCGTGATGTCCGATCGAGCGTAGATGTCCAGCAGCACGCCGCTGTCGTCCACCACCGGCAGCACACTGACTCCAGACTCCAGCATCAGGGTCAGGGCTGAGGTGAGGGGGGTGGAGGGGTGGACGACGTGCAGGGGTTTTGTGGTGCGGCCATTTCGGGCGCTCTTGCAAAGACAGTGGCACAGCCACACTTAATTCACACTTGCAAGATCACAGATGTGTTCTCAAATTGAATCCACGCTTACTGAATGCACAATTATGATCAATGATGAAACACACTCCTGACTTGCTACTGCTAGGAGCCTGTGTTGTCCTGAGAGATGATCGTTGAATTCAAACTTTGCCAAATGGTGCAGGACTTTGCTGACACAGCTTGTGGCAGATGGTGCAGCAGCATTTTGTTGCTGGATTGGCAAGGCATGCACTTCGCCTAATAAACACTCTTGATGAGGGCATCCAGGCAATGCAGGCTGCAGATTTTGTTGAAACTAAAAGCAATTTACTCTGCACTTCTGCAGCAACAAAATTGCTGCTGATAACAACACATCGCTGCTGATGCCACTCGTGGGATGCTGCAGGAACCACGACATCTTTATGTCAAGGCGATGTTCTAAAATTGAATGGTGAGTCCAAGTTGGTTTTATGCCGAAAATTATGCCCATGTTTATGCTGTCCAGCATTGCGAAATTGTACAGGAAGTGGGGTTGAGATTAACAGTCCCTACCCCCTGCATGTTTGTCAACACCAACAAGTGCTGTCGCACTTACTACACTCAGGCTGACAGGGACGCTCACAGCAATGGGGTCCCTATGGCAATGCCAATGCCAGCATGGTCAAGAAAGGCAGCCCTCAGTGTGACTCATTCGGTCCATTCTGTCATCCAAAACTGATATTGTGGCAATGGTGCAAAACTATCGGGGCCAGCTGGGCATGATCAGAATTCATGCCTGTAGCTATTCCGCACTTAGCATTGGGCCTGTCACTAAGGAAAGGCGCTATGTCGATTTTGTTGCGCTTAGTGTCTTGACGTTAAGCTCAGACCCCCCCCACCCCCACCCCACTACTGTGCTCAATCTGTGGACCAACAATGTGCTCTCCTGTTTTGTGCCTTGTGTTGTTCCGGGGCTCCCTCCTTTAGCGCCTGCAATACTGGCTGAAAAGGAGGGATTTTGCCTCGTTAATTTGTAATGCCATCTTACCCCGCCCACCTCCTTAGCGTCAATCATTATGTCGAAGTCAGGATGACTGTGCAACATTACCTAACAGTGGAGCACAATTTCTGGCCCTTTTTTATTTAAAAACCGCTCAGAGTTGTACAAATTTGGGTGGGCTTAAAAAATAGGATTTTAATGCCATTATAGGCAAGGCAGGAAGCCTTGATGGCTGTAAATTGACACATTCTAAGGACTTCCCTGAAGACCGTATATTTCAGGGAGGTTGAGGGGCAAGTCAAGAGTGTTTTGCTGCTGGTCAGCGGCTTTTTGAAGCATCGTTCCACCTTATGTTGATTTTGTTGCAATTACATAATCTCTCAGCATCACAGGTCTTGGACTCCCGCATAAATTTGATGCTAAGCATAACAAAATCGACACAGTGTCTTCCCTAACAGTCACACATTTCTGCTCTGTTTGTACTTGTTCCATCGACCCTGGGCCATTCTACATCAAGACATGGATCCTCGTTCCAGATCATGCTCGAATGCCTGCTGTGTTAACACAATCTGGGGCTCTGTGCTGCATCACTATGTGTTGGAAACAATTGACAACAGTGTGTGCCATACCTGGTCTGTGTTTTCGTTTCCATCGACTGTTGGTGACCATGTCCCCAATGGCAGGGTGCCTAGCGGCTCAGCAAGTAGGGGCAGGGATGCGAGCGATGCTCGAAAGTGCCGCATGATGCACCCCAGTATACCTGCGATTGTGGCAATGTGCAGGACGTTGGGTATCTACGCAGGCGAAACAATTTGCAAATCCAATCTGTCACCACATCAAATCCAGCATCCACTCTCATTCAAAAAACACTTCACACACCAGCAGCAAGGACGCAATAATCTACCTAGTGGGCGTGGGGTACTTGTTATCACATAAAAAGTTTGCGCTACACTAAAATCCCTTAAATTTACACAATCTGCACATACATTGATACATTATTCTGAAGTGCATTATATCGTTTGGTATGTAATGTACAATACCACACAATGTTACAGCATACACTGTGGAACACCATAAAGCCTTGTCACGTGGCCCGCAATAGGCATATCAATCTATTAGACAGAACAGCATGGTGTGTAGGCATTTCTGGCCTGAAGTTTTCATCAGCGATGTCAAATTCGAAACTGGACAAGGCTACAGTGCCTTACATGTGTGTGCTGCTTGTAAAAAATATGGCCCACAAGCTGTAAGGAAGTGGTCCCAAAATCAGCAATACATGGAACAGCAGCAACCATTGGCCAGTGAACCAGCTAGCATAAGACACCACTGCCACAAGAGATGGAAATTCAGGGGCGCTAGTTCTTTTCTTGAAACTACGGCGACTGCCGTGCATTAATCACAAAAGCACATCCAGTTTCAAACAACTGTCAGACAAAGCACAAAGCAAATTCAATAACTGTCTCCGCCGACATGACATTCACAAAATTAAGTAGGTACTCAATTGGAAGAACCACAACAAGCACTCAAGACAGAATTGGCCAACCATTGTTGAAGCAGCACCACTTCTTTTCATGCAATCAGTGTCAAGGGACGTCATTCAGAAGTAATATTCAAAGTGATGATGTTCCCGTACACAATGCATGCCAATAATGTACACAAACACCTCCCCTCAAATAGGTGCATTATCTCCAAGATATAAGGATCAAGACAATAGCTTAAAGCTCCCATCGTGTTCGCTGAATGTTGTAGCACTGATCATCTGACCAATATACAACTTGCACAGTCACTCAAATCCCTCAAGTGACCAAACTACAGAAAGACAGTGCATGGCCAAACATCGATGTGCAAGTGCCGATGATGTGTGATGTTGGAGCAATAACAACCAACAAATAATCAACTGCAGCACAGTGCAATCTATGGTGTGCTGCACCAGCAGTGTTCGACTACTTCCGTCCCAAGCGGCCTGTGCAGCTCTGCAGGCAGTATTTCTTCACATTGTGACACATCATGACAGGCATTTCCATCTCCATACTACGGCATGGGCACAACTGGCATGCAGGCATCCACAGGCCATATTCAAAAGGACTCTGCTACACCGTACTGTGCCACACCATACTGGGTTGTGGCATATTCCCTGGCCCCATGCTGTGCTGCACAGTACCATGCTGATTGCATTGTTCACAATGGAACAGCACAACATCGTTGCCAGTTTTGGTAGCGGCCAGTCACAGCAGCACTACTGAGAGCATCGTATTGCCACAACTCCCCAAACCACAGCCATCAGCCCCATAATGACTAATAGCCTACCTGTCCTGATTCTGTATCAACCGTCACAATCGGTGCCATGGAGCATTTCTTGCTAAACAGAGTTTGGACAACTTCCTGCAGCTTCATGTCAGGTTCAACATACACAAGGCTCTTTACACCAGGGCACTTGTGTGCCATCTCTTCCCTCATGTCCCTGATAGAGTGCCGATCCATCTCGGCCTGCACACCAGCACACCAAGCAGCTTGTCATAGTTGCGATAGGGCCTAATGTTCCATCCAATTCTCTCACTGGCAACAAAAGTGCTCTCAAAATTCAATAAACGCCCCAAGTTATACCCTCGTCTGGACCTGCTGCATTGCATCACTTGCAAGCCCGCAGTGGCTCAATCAGTTTCTGGCTATGAGAAGCAGATATGTCAAGAGCGAACCCTCAAGTACCTAGGGTTTTCCCAAACTGGACAAAGGTATCTGCAAGATAGACGATAACTGAAACTGGAAAACATCAACTTTCTGCATTGAAGAAGTAGGAACTGCCATGACACAAGGGTATGGCCAACATGATCATGGGCCAAATCATCGTTATCGCAGCCAAGGATGCACGATGAGTTTTTCTAGGGATTCTACAGACAGAACAGTACTTAGCAACCGAAAATTGACCGGCAAGGACTGCAAATCACCCCAGTGTTTGACTGAAGCAGCCATGTTGGTCCAAAAGGCATAAAAGAACTGAAGTGCAAGGTTGTCAAGAACATGACATAGACACAACAATTGATCCACCCACAAACTTTCTTTTTCCACTCTGCTTGTTGGTTCAGGTGGACAGCAATGACTCTGAATGGGGTTTGGAGGCAGCTGACATGCCTTGCGATCTATAGGGCTTCGATGAAATGAGAATACACACCAAGGCTGATTCCCCATATTCACGTCAACTGCATCTCCTCTTTGCTTCCGATTATTGAACAGAGATCGATATGGTCTGTGATGAGTTGTGTTGTTGCAGCCCAACAGCTCTGAACTTTCAATCCTTTCTGGAGCCTTACAGCACTTTGCCATTTCCTGCAAGATGGCAAACAGCCTGCACCATTTCTTCCAGAACAGATGTGGCATTTGCCATTTCCTGCAAGATGGCAAACAGCCTGCACTGTTGCTTCCAGAAAAGATGTGACATTTGACATCCAAGATGCGATGCACTACCCCTGTAATCAAAAGAAAGAAAAACAAGCCCCCGCCCACCGCAGATAGGGCGCTCCCGCCACTGGACACCGACTCCCTGAGCTGCCTGAGGGCATGGATGAAGTCGCTGGCACTGATGACGCCCACGATGTTGCCCTCGTTGCTGTCCCACAGGGAGGCTGAAGAGATGCCCTGCTCAGCCAGGGCATGGAAGGCCTGGCGCACAGACAAATCCATGTCCAGGGCAACCACCTTGCTGCTCTCTGGGATCAATTCAAAAGCTGTGTGCGAGTGCAGGAACTCGTGGACCACACTTCGAGTGTATTCCTGCAAGTCGACAGAGGTCACATGCGTTAATCTTTGATTAATTTTACAAAAACAAAGTGTGCTGCCAGTCCCAAAGTCGTTGTACTCGATATCTACACATGTTTGTGCTTGGAAATCTGTATGGTTTTGTACAGTCTGCACACACTTCTGCCAGCGCACAATGGTCTCGTCAGCTGTCAGACCGCAACAAATCGTTGCCTTATGCTGCCTATTGTGCAATGTAAAGCACAGCCCAAATCCAGCAATGCCCACCGTTGAAGCAATTTCCATTCCAGATGTCTGCTACTCGAGCAACCGCACTGTCAACCCGATGTGAGACTGTTTTCGAATTTACTTTGGTGAAAGGTCACACAGACAGTGCACAACACTGGCAAAGTACCCATTGGCAGGAATTGGCAAACTCTCCAACAGGTGAGTCACAGCTTGCCACCAGCAGACACACCCCAACACACCCATGGAGCTTGTCTCCCTCGATGCATGTGACTATGCAGAACCCAATCCCTACATTGACACCAACATCAGCGCTGTGCTCATGTTCACTAATGCAAAAGGAAGACTCATACAGCCCATGCGTACCGGTTCCTTCCTTTCGCTGATGGCCACATTTGGCACTGAATTTTCATCAGCCATGGGCTCATCAGAGGGCTGCATTGGCGGCGGTGGTGGCATTGGCTGTTGTGCTGGAACCAGTACCCTGCACACAATAATGGCTTTCAGAAAGAGCAAGAACTAATGCCCTGCACCAAAAGAAAACTAAAAGCCCTCAAATCTACAGGACTCTGCCTCTTGGCTCCACACCATACAGCAAATAGATCTTTTTGCGAAGCTCAAGTCAGTCAATCTTGGTTGTCGCCTTTGTCAAGAGACGTGACAAAGCACTGCCCTTGTGCCCATCAGGCAACGCTGGGCGCAGCCCACTGCACTATTTTTGGGATGAGCGTTACAAACTGTTGCCCTGGTGAGATACTTGTGGCTGCAGGGGCCACCTGCTTCAATGTGCATATCTGCATTCTGCAGCAACTACATAATAAACTGCACCCTGTTGACCACCTAGGTTGCTGGCACAAGTGCTCATTCAGAATTTCAAACAGATGATAATTGTGGAGCAATTTCCATTTCCCCAAGGTGGAAAGGCATGTTCGCTCACCCACGATATATACCATTCAGCAGATTCAGACTACCAACCAAGAGCCAAACCTCGCTTGTCTGGCAGTCACAAAACAAGGGCTTGTGTGACGGTGCAAAGATTTCAAGGTCTCTGACCATGCACTTGCCTTCTGGAGTCACTAATGTTCTGTGCTGCGGTTTTGTTCAGGTACTTTGCATTCTCAATATTTGGATCCTACACTGACACAAACCAAGCCCTTACACCTCTGTTCTCTCATCGCAGCCCATCAAGTGGTGACATGAGCACGATCCTTTCCAAGACTCCAACCATTGTTAGCACCATAACTCATGCACCAATGAGTTGATCCAAGCTAAATGAATGTGCCCCATCAGACAACCATGGCTGGTTGTATAATCTGTTGTTTTTTTTGCCAAATCCCATCTTGAGGGATAACCATGTTAGTATCCGTTAGTATCCAATGCATTAACCCCTCTTACATCTATATTGTCCCAGTGCATGCACCAAACCAAGGTCGACTGTACACTCAGCCTCAACCAACCAGAAGATGCCTGGGAGCAACAAAGCCACATAAAGGAGCCAAAAAGCAGGAGAACCATAAGCGAGAAGACATGAACCCCACAGCAAAATGCGAATTTATACATGAATATATATACAATATATGCGAATCTATATGTGCATGCTGTGCAATCGGGCTGCAAACACTCACGGTGGAGCTTGATGGAGTTGCTCTGGCCTCTTCACAAACACCCAGTTGTTGACGTTTCCAATGGGATCTGCCATGAAGGGAGCAGTTTCATCGTGTCGCCACTCTCCATCGACAATAAATTTGTACTGGTGATACCTGGAATGGCAGGCACATGGTTGAGAAAACAGCTGCAAAAGCACGTTCACCAGAAGGTTGTTCAGGTCCACAGGCAATGACGGGGGGCCGGTTGTCAAACAAATTATTATGCACCTGCACTTCCACATGAGCACCATGAAGTTGCGCGGGAACACATGCTGTTCCTTGGAGCATGCAGCGGGAGCATTGGCAAAACATTTCTGTGGACAGTGTCTGATATCGCACAACACACAGGTGAAATTTTTTTCGCCTGGTGGCAAGTGTAGCAAATCAGAAATTACACAATGTGCAAGTTGTGACTGAATTCTGTCCTCAATCAAGCAAGTGTCAGCTAAATCGTGAAGTGGTGGAATTGAAACAACCTGCAGTTAAACAACATCGGAATATCATCCTTTCTTGGAAAGCAGTATGCTGCCAGGTCTGTCCCCTTGAAACGGATACACACGTGTCTCGATTTCGAACTGTGATGCTGTCCCCATCATCAGTCCACCAGAGCGGGAATTCTACACTCCCAACGATGATTCACTTTTTCGACTTCAAGTGCGCCCCAGTCCCAACACAAAAAGATATGGATCTTTCACCAGCTCACAAGAAACACTGGGCGATGACGAGCACACAAGGGATTATGACATGAAAATGAATGCACAATCTCAAAGGAGCATGCCATGTGGGGGGGAGAAGGGGGGATCTGGAGGATCAACCTAAGTAAGGATTATAAACTTGGCACATGCTCATGGAATGAGAACAACTCCCTCGTTTTCCACAGCCAGGGCTCCATGGGCTGCACATTTTTTCACGCTCGATGCAGGATGCTTGTGCCATCCACGGATTTGTTGGTAAAGTATTCTGTTGCATTGTGCAAATGCATGTACTCATGACAAACATCCCAAAGATGAAAACTCGGCAGCCGTTGCACCCCAGGAATGCGATTTCAACACCCAGATTGTTCAACTATGCGAAGGAAACATGCTCAGAGCTCAGGTTCTACACAAGGTCAATTCCCTGTGCATTCACAATTTTTTGTCTGAATCCCTAACATTGATGCGCATCTGCAACCTTGAAAATAGATCCAATGGAAAATGGTACAGTTGGGCTGCTTTGATCAAAGCTGCAGGAAGCTGCATTCAGCTAGAGACTTCTGCATCATTCAAAACGTTATTGATGCAGTGGGGCAGTGTGACCTCCACACACTCCACAAGTGTGAGGTTTGAGCGCCACAGGATGGCCCTCCAATCGCAGGGAGAATGGGCAATCCTTGCGCATTTTTGAGCAAAGAAGATAAACAGGAGGGAAATCTATGGTCAAGGCCCCAGGCTTGCAAACGATTCTGAAATACAACATGTCAGCAGTAGATGCTACCCTTCAGCCCCATCTTCACACCAGGAAAGTAGCGCCAGTGCTCACAAATTTCAGCCCAGGGTAGCGGCCTTACCCTGGGGGAAGATGAACAACAACAGCGAACACGCCTGGGGAGGCGTCAGCTGGCGCCATTGGAACGGTCTCCACCCATCGGGTGAACGATCCGATCAGATAAACCTGCCAACAGCACAGCCCGCCTCTCACGAGCCAACCACCCACCGGACAATCCCCCAGGCAACCTTGACGGGAGAAGCCATGGCGCCAACGACGGGCCAACCACGACAACGGCCGGCACGCAGCCAAACGGGCCATGAAATGGGCATCCCCCTTGCGACACTGCGGACGGGACCCACAATCATCCCAAGAGCGCAGCCGGGTGCGTGGGGACGGGCAACCGAACACGGGCGGAGCCGCTCGCCACGCGACCGCGTACGATTTTGACGGCCAGCTGCAGAGCGGAACGGCATTTCCATCGGGCGTGCGGGCGGCCGGCCGCCGGGGCCCTCGCCCGCGCTGAGGGCGCGAAGCGCGGCGGGTGCGGCAGCGGCGCCCTCGCGCCGAGCATCCCACCCAACGCTCTGCGCGACGGCGATGGCCGGCCGCGCCGACGAAGCGCATGCTCCCAAATTCCCAACAGATCGCACCACAGCCAGCCGCCCGCCTTTTTAATCCACCCCGTCGAGCGCAGGCGCGAGCCCCCGCACGGCCTTGCCGCGGTGCGACAATCGCGCGGCAAAAAATCGAGCGATGGAATCCGCGGGGTGCGGGCCCGGGGTGGGCGCCGCGGGGGACGCACCTGCTGGCCGTGGAACCGCCACACGAAGCGCGTGGGGACAAAGAAGGACATGTCCATAGGAGAGCGTGGGGCTGCGCGTGCGGGGGTCACGCGCGGCCACCCTCAACTAGGCTGGTTGCGGGAAGCGGCGAGCAGAAAGGGTCCGAGGCCCGGCCGACGTGGGCGGCGGAGCGGTTTGGAATCGCCGGATTGTTCGCAAAGCCCGCATTTTTTTTCAATTCTTCGTGTTCAATGGTACGACGTTGTTCTAGGTGGCCGCTTCTAATCATATTGAGGAAATTGGCGGGAGTGAAAGGAGAACTTTCCCTTCGTTTCTGGGCCTGGGATAGTGTCCTTCGAAGCCCTTTGAGTTTTTCTGCCATGGAAATGGCCAAACGCAGCTTGATTTTGTTCTTACGATCGCATTCTCGCAAAGATCGCCTTTGCAATAGAAATGCCACACTTCTTTCTGTATAATGCACCGCGATTATATTCCAAGCTGCGATCGCATGGCCACTGTACATCTGGGAGCCCGGTGCTTCCATGACCACATGAGTCCTGCGCTTCAGCATACTGTAACCTCGCAACAGTAAGGGCAGGACTGCGTAAGTACACAGTCAAATATCACAACGCTCCTGGAGTGACTGTGCCACCTTGTCACATCACCCTAATCAGGGGGTTGATGCGCGAAATGCTATTGTACGGGGCGATGGTGTGAAGCCATGCTATTACAGTCCCAATAGTGTAATGAACATACTATTTAGCAGGGTTGAATATACTATGCTCAGCCCTGCCATGACGTAACGTTAAAGTTTGGCCTTTTTGCAGTGTAACCCCAGCCACGACGCGAGGGTCTCTGGACTGCTCGCGGCGTCTAGTGCCCCCGAGTGCATGAGCCGCTGTGGCTGAAAAATAGAATTGGACGACATGCAAACAGGGCGGGAAAAATAAAGGGCGGAGTCCCCATTCCGGCTGTCGCCACGATGTGGAACACAGTGAAGTACAAGTGCTGCGGAGTGAAATCGCGTTTTTGATAGGCGACGGTCGATGATCGTTTGATGTTGCTGCGGCTGCTGACAATGTCGGTAGGAATGATCGCTGACAGTACTGCTTCATGGCGAAGCACGTACGTCAGCGCATAGATTAGATGCATCACCAAACTGCTGTGTGTATCACGGTCAATTGACCATGATCTGTCCGTAACGAGCAACTATGGGCAATAAAGCTATTTCGTCAATTCAACGAACGTGGTCAAAGCATCCTCAGATCCCACAATCATGAACATTATGTGATTCCCGTCACCAGCACTTTGAAGAGATTTGACGAAACATGGCGGGGGCGATCGCCTTTTGGAAAATCTGAGGCCTACGTAAAAGCAGCGCTCTTTTACGCAATGACGCCATCGTAGCGCAATGCTTCCTCAAGTATGCAATTCACAATGCAGCCCCCACTGTCTCATCAATTTGAACAACACACAAGAAAACAAACAGGACGCCCTGCGATGTTAGTCATCGACACAGAGCATAATACACCCATGTAAGTCTACTTACTGTTCTGCTCACAACACAGAACCTCCCACCCAAAGAAGTAAGAACAGGAAAGAAAAATTATCTCTCAAGCGGCGATAGCCGCATGTACTCTCTTTAATTCATGTTGCCCCGGCTGCCTCCAGCCTTGTTCATGTCAGTTTGTAGGCAACAGGGGCTGCATCAAAGCGCCTTCTTCGGTCTTTTCTCCCATTACATTGTCTTCATCTTGAGAAGCAGATTTGGTGTCGGCGTGCACCTGGGCGTCGCATGGAAGCCCTTTCAATGCTTTAGATAATAGAAGGATAGATTCCGTCAGCGAAATCGCAAGTTTGTGGTACCAAAGTCAACTGCCAGGCAAAGTTGCTTGAAAACTTTTAAATGCAATCTTTTTTCAGCAAAAATATACTTTTAAAGGATTTTCCAGCATATAATCTGTATTTTGTACTTTATGCGTCTCCAACGTGATTCCTTGAAGAAATGATTCCTTCTGGCCGTGTTCATGCTGCTGAATTTGTCCTCATTCAACAAGTTTGGGCGCTCTCATCAGCGTGCATGCTTTGCGCACATATCCAAATTTTCGAACGCCTTTCCATAGGGAGTGACAATAGGGAGTGGCGATATGGGATTATGAATAATCGATTCCGAACATATTATCTGCTTGGTTTCCATGCCCATCATCGCCTACCAGGTGCACGGGCTGTGTTTTGTCATTTTGTGGCAAATGTAATCTATGGATTTTGATGATGATGATGATGAACGCATTTCCATGCATGTAGCACATGCGTCCGCTGTACATGTGTCACCTGTTCATCCCTTCTGGGAGTAAGTTCCTCCTTCTTTTCTTTGGCCTGAACGGTGGATGTTATGTGTATCCTGTTCTGCATTTGCCTCAGCTTCTTGTTCTGAATGGTCAGCGACCTGACGCTGTGGAGACCCGTCGATCCGTTCCTGTGCCCGCAAAATATACGTTTTCCAAATTTCGCACCCAGAGAATGGATTAATGGTTGCTTTTGGAAGTTAGAGGCTCCCGTAGCAATTCAGCGATATGCGATTCAAAAATCATTGCTGAATTGCAAATATTGGTTTTGTGTAAAAAGGCCACATGCTGCATTCCAGCCTTAGGTATTTTACCTTTATTGCTTCACCCGTAAGTATGCGTAAGTAGAGATACGGCCATATATACGAATTCTAACGCTGGTCGACACATTCAGGTTACACGGCAATGCCCCAAACAACGGTAAGTCCTCCTCCCCTTTGAATACCCACAATCCAACGCCAAACTCACCCTCGGCAAGGGCAACACCGCCAACGAACAAAATATCGTTTTCTGCAGACTCCAACGCGTCTGAGTGCCACTCAGAGATTCCAGAGTCTGCATTTGCTGTCTTCATATCCGCAGGGAGTTTTACGCAATTTTATGCCTGTTTATACGAAAAGACTTAAAGAGTTTCTATGTTCGAATGCGCGTAAACACGAGAATATTTGCACCGTAAATAACAAGTATGGACTTGACTGTGTTGCTCACTTTGAAATATTGCCTGAAATTAATGTAATGCGTGAATATTCCTGCATATGTGGCAGTTTTTGTACGTGCAAAATATAATTCTCGTTGCAGACATGTTTTGAAGCGCAATTTCATGCACGTTTCAGGCGGCTGTGGTCTAAATGTGCATCATCGATTGGCACTGGCAGAGGAGTGAGTGGTCACAGCCTTTCCGTCTTTGTAATTTTGTAAAGCAGAGATGCCCATTCCACGAAGTGATACCCATTACGCATTTGGGTTGCCAGCAATTGAGCCGGTTTCTAGATGACTGGCAGATGAAATTCAATGTAAGTTCACATTGATTTTAAATTTCTGTTGTTCATTTTATTGCTAGGAATTTCCCCACCAACGTTAGGAGCACATAGCGAGGTAGAAGGCATGCATGCATCATCACATTTTTCTTGAATTTGATAGTGGGAATTGCATTTCAGAGCTTAGAGACAAGCCTTAATTTTCCTTTAGAGAGGGGGCCCTCCGCCTGGCATTTGAACATTTACATTTAAGCGAACGGAACTCATAACAGCGCGTTCTGTTGTGTGCTGTAAAAAGTAGACCTCCAACCTCCCAACCCCGCAAGATGTTCCTATATCGAGTGCGCGAGATTTGCGGCATGAGTCTTCACTAGTTGCTCAGCAACAATCTCACGCAATTCCTTAATTATAAGTAGATTTCATGAACTTGGCTTGTCATTGGCGAACAGTTCATGAGCAGGATTTTTCACTTATCAACAGCGGCCAATTCGATTCACAACGAGCAAGGAGATAAACTGGCAAGAACCCGCACAGTGCGAATATCCCCTCACTTGTCGTAGCTATGGTCTCCCAGCGCCCAGTCCAGCCGCCCCATGTCGTACTCTGCCCCTGCAGACGGGCACCCCTGCCTCATGAACTGCATGGCGGCTTCAGCCTTGCAGGCGGCGTCTATGCGCCTGTCTCTCCAAGCGTCTGCTTCCTCCGGCTGCTGGCCACCGCCGACCTCGGCTCCCTCCTCCGCCTCGTTTGGCACGTCGCTGTGCTGCCTCTTAGTGGTCACCACGGTGTAGCCGATGCCGAAGGTCTCCACGGGAAGGAGATGGGAGGGCTCTTTCGTCAACCTGAGCAAGACACAGGTGAGAGCGTTTCTTTTCGTGTTGGCGGAGCGCTGCCATCACGTCAACTTGAAATTGAGCGGAGTGTGGCCCCTTTGGGCGTTTTACCGCTAGGAAAGAACTCAGAGAATCAATGATTAGTGTACGTTTATCAAAATAACTGAGATGTGTTTCCTAATGATGTATTCCCCGATGAAATGCGTTGAACTGTCAAAAGTATCGAATGCAAGCACCGCCCATGTAACATTTAGTTGTCGGAATTGACGATATATGACGTTTCAGTTGATGATGGCATTAAAAAAGTGACTGAACGCTCATGATCACGACTGATGCACCCGCTCATATTCCACATGAGTGCACTTTTGACCCGTCTAATTCCACTCAAATGCAAACAATATGTTTGGCTCGCACCCTGACTTTCCATATGATTTTTGATCTATTATACGTAGCAACTGACCGATTTGCACCATGAACACCACGGGAGTGTGCACGTACCACATGAAAAGGCAATGCGCTATGAATAAACACTCTGCATATATTCAGTACGCACATGGCATTCAAATAAATGGACACAAAATGATACTCATACATTTAAGCAGCTTGCGGAGTATCAACAGGTGCTTCATTGTTCACATTGGACGCATGGTTTGGTTCATAATGCATTTTTCAAATGAAAAAAACATGTCCCCATAGATTCTTTAAACCATTTATAAATGTTTAAAAGCATATGAGAAATCAGGGTGAGCATGGTTGCATTTACTTACTCTTGTTGGGCGTCTTCTACAGATGCGTCCTCCTTTGATGGTACTGGTACTTTGTCCCGACATTCACCGTTGCCATATTTCCCGCCACTTGCAGGTTCCGAGCTCCAATTATCGGCTTTCTCCACAGCACTCTGCGTTTCCCCCGAATTCCCCCC